AGCTCCCGAGGAGGGCATGGATCATTTCTGTGCATCTGAAGTTGAACTCAGCTCATCTGGATGAGCACTGGTTCCACGTCACTTGCATATAGATCTCCCTTGCTGTTTTAAAGTCCATATTCCTGTTTTGAATTGTTATCTTGTATTATTTTTGAACAATACTTAAGCCCTTTATATCAATATTATATTTATTATAACTTTTAAAAGAATGTGACTGTATAATACATTTGCAGGCTTATAATGTATAGGACCTGAATTTAAATAAGATTGTGACAAGATGGCGGATTTAGGAGGGCTGCTGCGGGGATTAGGCTGATTCCTGGAGAATCCCACCAGCAGGGGACAGCAGGAGAGAGACGGGATGGGGTTGTCAGAAGACACTTTGAATATCCCCAGAGGGAGCTGGGGAAGCAGTATAGACCTGTTCTGTGGGCTGAAAATATTTTTCTTCCCAATGTTTCTGATTGGAATTGACTGGCTGAAAGTACTTTTCCTATTAATTAGAATATAATTAGTATACAAAAGCTTGTGTTCAGCAGTAAATAATAAAAATGACAAAGGCATCTTCTTATGACAGTGACATCTAGAATGTGGCCAGTTGTAGGTTTTGTGCATATGGCTAACCCCTGCTATCTTGCTCTCTTTTAGGAATCTAAAGGACCTTTCTTGGCAACCTTTAAACTGAATGCTTCCCAACGTGCTTCTCTTTGAATGCTTGTGGATGGAATGTGGCCTGGATCTCGATGTTACAAGGTTTCAGAAACAGCTGAACTAAATTGGCAGCATTTCAAAGCTCTCTCAGGCAGTTGCATTTGAAATACAGCAGCTGTATGAGAAAACTTCAAGGAGCAGCTTGGTAAAAGACCAAAGGCAGATCCATGCTACTCTGTCTCTTTTCTGAACAGCAAGCTTCTGTGTCTCATTGACACAAGGAAAGTTTGGTGGACTGATCTTACTGCTAAGCAGATTATGTAAATATAAAGAGCAATAGAATTGTGTGTGTGTGTGTGTGTGTGTGTGTGTGTGTGTGCCTACTAATAGCAGGTGTTTGTTTGTCCATTTTTCTGTTGGCAAAAGGAAGCATTTAACAGGATTTTCAACGAGCTGTACTGAGTCAATACATAATAGGCCAAATATACAACAGTAAAAAGAATCTAAAAATAATAAAATGACACTTCATTAGGAACTTGGGATCTGCCTGTTACAGTACAGAATGCATAAATACTTGTGTGGAGAAAACATGCTGTGAAAATTGCAAGACTATACTAAAGTGCTTTTTTCACAGCTATTTACAGTGCAGTCCTATGCATGTTTACTTAGAATTCCAAGTCCCACTGTATTCAGGGATGAATATTCCCAGATACATGTGCAGTTCTAATGTGGCAGCAACTTTGCTTGCCAAAAGATGTTAACTCCAACTCCCAGCCAGATATTTCTCCCAGAATTTTTTTGCATTTCTATGATGGCGTGCTAAAACTGTGGGTACTTTGGCAGGAAAGCTAAATACTTTTAAGTCCTATTGATTTCATTTGGAATGCTTTTGAGTAGTGCTGACTCTCACAATAATACCAGGAGGACTTGAAGTGTTTGCTTTTGGCTAAACTATATCCTGTATATTTTTTAAACTTTGAAACAAAGAACCGAGACTTTTGTGTTATATTTAGTGGAGAATCCTTTAGTATCATTGAAAAAATAAGGCTGTATTCCTGTATACACACCAATGTGGGAAGCAAGTCTCATTGAATCATAGAATCAGAGTTGGAAGGGACCTTGAGGATCATCTCCTTCCAACTAAGCATCCATGACAGAAGGCCATTCAACCTCTGCTTAAAAAATACATGTTGTTTCAAGCAAACATCCAATGGAATTATACTATGTTAGAAAACTAATGTTACAAAATTCACGTTTTTATACGATAGTGAAAACCTGCAAATAATACATATACTTTTTGCATGAAGAACCATATATGTGTGTAAACTTTGTAAATAAAATAATCCAATGTGCATTTCAGTATTCTGCAAAATGGATAAGACTATGCGTGGAGACTACTGTTTACCTCTAAAAACTGCTTTCAAAAGGCCTGTGGTATGTGCCCCATTGTAATGAAGATCAAAAGTTTGAAGCAAGAACAGGATTTTAAAATGTGCATATTGTGTAAATGCAGTTTACAAAATGTTTGATTCAACCAAACTGGTCTTGATTATGTTGCCTATGGCAAGCAATTTTGTATATGCCAATAGAAAACATACACTGAATTTTTTATACTATTTGCTTTCAAACAAAAATGCTTTCCCAATATTCTTTTACATGCAGGAATTCAAAGGGGTGGACGAAGACTGTAAATTACAACTTTGTGTATATGTTTATATATTTTTCTATTTGTTAATAAATAGTCATTTAAATACTATTTGTATATATGTGTGTTTCAAACATAGATCTTCACCTAAATAATAGTTATATTTTAGAAACATGTCAAACCAACTCAGTATGATTCTGCCTTCTTTTAGTCTGTTTTTATTTCTTTAGGCTATAAGACTGATCCATGCTTCCTTTGTTGCTGCTTCCAAATTTGGAGCAAAGCAGGGAGGGGAGAGGGAGGTGCTTGTATCTTTTGTGTCAAGATGCACACTCTCCCTCAAATATAATAACCTATCTGTGCATATGTGTACCCACAAACTGGTAGTGATGATGGATAAGTAAGTCACTTAGTGTCCTGTGTTGTCACTTTGGGTGAACATTTGAAACAATCCTGTGTTCCCATTTCTTCAGCTTGTGGCCTTCAACTGCTTTTCTCAACTAGAAACTTAGAAGAGGACCCGTGTCTGCACATAAATCATTGTCATACAAAAGCAATGCAGTTAATGAGAAAATTTTGTAATGCACAGCCTGGTCTCCTTGAGCACACATTACATCACTTTAAATGGAAGGCTTTGCCAGGGAGCAGGTGCACTCACCTAACAACTTTTAGGGTATGGTAGCATGCCCACTAAACAAACTGTACTAACTGAAACTGGGTATTGTTTGTCACTGAGGTGGGCCTCTCTTCTGACCACCTGCTCCCCAGCATATAGATCAGTGCTTCCTAGGCCCCTTTCTAGGAACCAGTTCTGAACTTTTGGCCCATTCCTCCCTCCCCACTGTGACCAACTCAGCCATCTCTGTGGAACTCGTGACAGCAGTCTTCACAAGTCTTGCCCCAGGCACCTTTGTTTAAACAAGTATATCCAGTGAGAAGATCTACATAGGAGCCCCAGAGTGTCTGAAGACCCTTCCTAAAGTAGCATGTTGAATCATAGAATAGTAGGGTTGTAAGATGCCAATAATTTGAAGACTATTGCAGCAGATCTGCTTGCATATCATTCATAGATGCACACAGTTATGGGGCTCTTATGAAACTCTGAGCAAACAAGTACAATCCCATAATGAATTCACGCTTGCCTATACATAACAGTAACATCAAATGGTGCCTTGCATATCTGAAACAATTCCCAAGCAACTTGTATTCAAAAGTATACTGCCTTTGAAAGAGGGGGGACAGTACACAGCCATTGTGGCCAGTAGCCATCCATGGGCTTATCCACCATGAATTGGTCTCCTCTTTTAAAGCATCCAAGTCAATGGCCATCAGTGCCTTTTGTAGGGGCAAATTTTATATGCTCTGTGTGAAGAAGGATATTTCAGTGTCCAAGATGGGTTAAGCACAGTTTACATTTCTCCTTTGTTGTAGAACCTTTTGAGGGCTTTAACTTTGCATGCACCGAAGTCTTTACGAGCAATATCTCCTGTAGATTAAATTAATCCTCTCGCCTCCTCTCTGAGCCTTATGACTAGAGGTTTAGATTACAACCTGAAGCACATTCCAATTCAGTCTCTGTTTGAGGGGTTTTTTTTATTTTTTAAGGGGGGAGAAAAAACAAAGACCCCTTATTTGAGCTAGTGCATGCCCTCTGCAAGAGAATGCGACTGGTATAACTTGCATAACAAAGGAGCACAATGTGCACACTGTGTTAGCAGGGTGCAATTTAATCCATACTTGCTTTAGGCATGAGTGTTGCTGGCACACCGTCCTTGGCCCTTGCAGCACACAGGAGCTCCTTTGATTGTGTCCTGCAAGGCAGCCCCATCTATAGAATGAAAAGGGCTGCAGGTGGATTTGCCAGCAGTCCTGCTGTGATTCACATCAGCAGTAAATGATGGGATTAGAGGAAATGTTCCATAATAGTGTACTGACAGGGAGAGCTGATTGAGGGCATACTAAGGATCAGGGTAAGTGACATCATTTCTCCAGCGGGAGTAATGTTAAGATTTCCCTGTAATTTGGTTTTGATAACATAAGGGGGGCGGGTTGGTGGGAAGGGAAGTTATTCTAACAAAAGGGAATGTGCACTGCTGGGCCCAGTTCAAGGTGCTTGTATTAGGGCCCTGAATGACTCAGGTCACAACTATCTGAAAAAACTACCTCTCCTCAGGCCTTTTCAGCTCTTGGTAGTTCCACTGCCCTCAGAAGCTGGGTAGTCATTCTGGCATAGCTGTCAACTTTTCCCTTTTCTTGCGAGGAATCCTATTCGGAATAAGGGAATTTCCCTTTAAAAAGGGGGAAACGTTGACAGGTATGCGTCCTGGGAGAGGGCATTCTCTGTGGCAGCCCCTAAGTTGTAGCACTCACTTCACACAGGCAACTTCAATATACAGTTTGGGGCAAATGTTGAAGATGATCCTCTTTAGCCTGGCCTTTGACACCTGAGATGTATATTTACAAGGCCCACTATTTTTCTGGTTTGGGGTTTTTTTATTGTAATTTTTAAAATTGTAATTTGATTTTTTATAAAATAAACTGTAAGTTTAAAAATTGCTTTAAAAACCAATTGAGTGCCTTGAAGGGCACAGTCTCAGAAGAGCAGGATGTTGGATGAGATCCAGCAGGATTGATCTTAGAAACATGGAATTGTAGAGTTGGAAGGGACCATCTCGTCCAACCCCCTGCAATTCAGGGATCTCTTTGCCCAATGTGGGGCTCGAACCCACAACCCTGAAATTAAGAGTCTCATGCTCTACTGGCTGAGCTATCCTGCTGCATCGTCTTACGCTGCACCACAAAGTGCAGACTTCCATGAGTATGTGAAACTGAGGGCGGTGGGGTTTGACTGTGCAGAATGCAATTACTTGACTTACTGACAAGTTCAAAAACATTTTTTACCCTTCTCAATACTGGGCTATTGCCTTTTTAAAAGCATCACCCCCTCCTTTCCTGATTGCAGCTGAGCAACAGTTAAACAGAGTCACATTTAAAACTGAGCAGCCTTCTCGCCTGGCGAATGTGTGAACAGAATGTGAAGGCTCTGAGACAAATTTTCTCTCATTTCAAGAACACTTCATTACAATCATACCAAATTCAAAGGGATGAGAACAGAGATAGCGTTCAATTTGACTGAGCTGATTAGTGTCAAGGCATCCCCCCAAAAAGTTCAAAGGCATCATTTGTCCAGGGCCTGCGATAAAACTTTGAAAAGCCAAAGAAAGAATCCTCTCAGCTTCCATCCGGCAGATAAAAAGGGGATTACAGGCCCTTGCTGTCCTTTGAACCTTAAAAAGTCCTGCTGGCAAACAGAATAAGACAGGGTTCAGAATAATCTCCCGCTAAAAGCTGTTGCTTCGCTGACTTCATTTCACTTCTTCAAAATTTATCTACTCATTTGCAGTTTTTCAAAAGGGCTTCACAACCAAAAGTTACCAAAGTGGTGCACGAAAAAATAAGACCAAATACGGAAAGTTTGCAAACTCAGTAAACGAAAAGCAACGGAACCTTTTAGTGAATGGTGCTCCATAAAAGGACTAGGTCCCACTTCCAAGAAAGTCTTCTTGCTAATCTCATAACGGCCCTGATCCCAAAGTATCTGATGCAATGCTTTAATAGACCTGTGTATGGGTTGGTGTGGGTGGGCAAATGATGTGGCCACAGGTAGTAGGAGAATACACATTTCCTTCTGCATCTACAGATCAGTGCATAAAGAATAAGAATTTATATCTTTGTTCTCCCCCCTCCCCCCCCAAATACTAAGCAGCTGTCCACAAATGCAGCCTACCCATGCCCACATACTAAGACCTTTTCCTGATGATTGTGAGAACAGGAGGCTGACCTTTAATCTGATTCAGCAGGACTGATTCAACCAGATGCTTATGGGAAGCCTTGCAATCAGGACAGGAATGTTACATCTCTCTCCTCACTTCTGATTCCCAGTATCCGGTACTCGTAAGCATACTGCCTCTGACACTACAGTTATTCAATGACTGAGTGATCCTCGTTTCCAAGTAAGTGGGTTTAGGTTTGCAGCCTAAAATAGGCATTGCAGCTTTAGAAACACCAGTATGTAGAAAGCTGCTTGATACTGAGTCAGACCGTTGGTTCATTTAGCTGAATATTGTCTACACTGACTGGCAGCAGCTCTCCAGGATTTCAGGCAGGAGCCTCTCACAGCCCTAACTTGAGATGCCAGGGACTGAAGCTTCTGCATGAAAAGCCAAGCCTCTACCACTGAGCTATGACTCTTCCCTGTAAGTAAAGCTTGAGGGCGTCGCTCATCCATTTCCTCTCTGGGAGTGCTGGGCAAACCATGCCTGTCCTCGTAGGCCTTCCAGGTCTACCTGCCTGGAGTGGCTGTCTGCAGAAACTAACTTGCATCCTTTTCCCCACATTGCAAAACAGATAAAGGAAGACTAAAATACTCATATTTTCTCACTGGGAAAGTCCAGAAGCCAGCAAATGGATCAGAAAGTAGAGCAATGTTAGACTTCTCTCCATTCCAAATAAGTCGGAAAAGAAGAAATCCACCAACAACAATAAATCTGTCTGCCAGATGATGCTTCCAAAGTATGTTGAACAAAGCTTGTTCTATTTATAGGCAATTGTCTTCATTAACCACCCTGAGTCTTCTCCACCCCTTTTCTTATTGTCAGCCATGCCGTCACTGCCTAGTGCATTCCCTTACAGTAGGTGCCGGTTCAAAAAGAAACATTGGATGAACAGGTCAATCAGTACCCAAATTACATGCAGTGCTGTTGCTTTTTTCCTCACAAGCTATGAGTTACAACATGTTACCTTTCCTTTCTGCAAAGACATAAGCGCACAGTGCAGATTACTCAGCTTCAGAAAAATTATATATAATTGTCCCCTGAGGCCTGGAAATCCTGAAAGATGCTGAAGCACACAAGAGCTTGCTCTTTGCAGAAACACCCAATTTAATTTCTCCCTGGAAATAACAGCTTTGATATACTTTTGTGCATCATGTACCTGTGATCCTGGAAACTGACTCCAGGCTCCTACTGTAGTGACTGAAACATACTACCACCCAAGGAACGTTGTTATTAGGCAGCCTCTGTAAATGTTGTATACAGTAATACTGTATACAGTAAAAGAAATAGCTGAAACCAAAAGTTACTGCTTTTAGCTAAGCCAAGGAAGCCAATTAGGATTCATGCATTTGCACCTTGCCAGCACTGACATTCACACACACACACACACACACACACAGAGAGAGAGAGAGGGGGGGGGAAGTAAGTTTACTTCCAAGTAACCAGATACAGGATTACTCCCAAGTACCAAGGTATACGACTGCAGCTGCAATTAGGATGCAATTCTGTACTGACAAGTCTCAATTGATTCTGTGGGACTTACTTCTGAGTAACCTATGTAGGATTGCACAGGTGAAAGGGTTGCCAACAATGGTCCTACGGACCCAAAGAATTAATCAGGGAAATAAAAAACAAGGGCCCTATGGACCCAAAAAATTAATCAGGGAAATGGCTGTCAAAGTGATACAAATGTGCTTTAAATGTGTGGTGGGGGACGCGACATTTGACAGTATTAGAGTGCAATTCTCATCTATATATTTGTGTCATGGATGAAGAATGACTCATGGATGAGTTCACCCCTTTGCTGAACCACCACTTGGTACATTCCACCTCAGTTCCAGGTGGAACTGATCAACAGCTTCCACAGAGACCTGGGCTGGTGTCACAAGCAAAGGAGGGGCCAAAGTGCTGTTGCACAAACCTCTTGGGTGCATATAATGCCTGAATAAAGACTAGGGTTGTCTCAAGGCAGTTTGCTGCCTGAGGTGAAGGACAAGATGGCAGCCACCACTGTTCCACATACAGAAGCCATTTGGAACAGCAGTGAAATCTTACTTCAGTACTGGCAATGTGCTCCACTGTGCCTGAGGGCAACAGACCACATACAGCTCTGTCCTCCAACAGATGAATATGAGTCAGGGGGCTCAGGACATGCAGTTTTCCCTGCCCACCCCCCTTACCTCACACTGTCTAATAGTAGGGCTGGTCCTGGTAAAGAAGGAGCGTAGAGGATTTTGAGGCAACAGGGGGGAAAGTTGGAGAAAAGTCGTCTCAGCTGCCTGCTGCCAAGGTAAATAATACATCTTAAGTATATCATACAGATGTGATTTGATATTTCCTTCTGTTAGTTCAGTTGACTGCTTTTGTGGCCTGCCTTCTAGAATACTGTAGAATGTTCTGGAGTAATATTTTTTTTCTTAACCAGGGGAGAGACAGAGAAGCACCACTGTAAACAAAACAAAACAAAAAAGATGAACCTCCAGTGTGTTGAAAAATAGTTCTTGAAAATGTTGGCTTGAGGATGGTGGACTTTCCCTTGATTGAAAACCAAAAACTTACTATTGCCCCTGGGGAACAGCACTGCTCAAAACATGTCAAGCACAAATGAGGTTCTTCTGAACCTACATATATTGCAGTCTTTCCCTAAATTGTGGGTGCAGGTGGGGAGTGAAGTGGAGAGAGAGAGAGAGAGAGAGAGAGAGAGAGAGAGAGCTGTGGGGCTCTGTTGTTCTTCTCCACACAGTTACAATAAGGTAGGGAAACATCTGAAAAAGGGTACATTTCCATCTGTGAACTGGACTCTGATAGCCATGTGTTCAGCATCCTTTCTGGGAGACATCTGCTTCTAACTAGCAACTGCTGGGAACTGCTGGTGAATATAACTGGCTTGCCCTTATTGTGAACTTCTCTTGGGCGCTGCATTGGCTACTAGCAGCAGATTACTGAGGTAGCTGACTGACTCCGTGGCTTTCATGTTTTTCTAGCTCTAGAGAGCCTTTTACTACCATGACTTTGGTACCAAGAAACCCCGGGGAAATCTGCTGAGGAAACTTTGAATATTGCAACGAGCTGTGAGACAGGATGGAAAGGAGGTAGGGTGAGATCTAGTGGTAGATTCTGGGCAATCAAGCAAGGGTTTCTGTTTTATGATTGTGTGACAAAAAACAGCAAAAACAAAAGAAACGACAGTAAGGCTCCCATCTAATTCTAAACTAGATGGTTAAAACTAAGAAATGAGAAGCTGTGAAGTCAGTTCTGCTTAGGGGTGGGTGAATTTGCATTTCTCTCATTTTGCCATCTTAAGTTTAGTTCTCCACATTTCTACATCACTTTGCGATATTTTTTTTTTTAAATTCCACATGAAAATCCATTAGCATCTTAATGCTAATGTTACCAAACTGTATGCAAATATTATTTCCCCTAATATAATGCATTTTTTGCATGTTCTCTGTAATTTTTTTATGCATGCTTTACCCCGGTGTACACACTTTTCCTACACACTGTTTGGCTGGGGAACTGCATTGCAAAATTTAAAGAAGCGCAAATTTTGAAAGATGGCTGTGTTCCTGTGTTGCTTTTGGAACGTGCAGATTTCCTAGCTTCACCTTCAAATGTCAACTGAATTGAATTTCTTCTTTAGCCCTAGTTCTGGTACTGAATACAAAATGGCACCCTTTTCATATATTCCGTATTGCATGTCCTCCTCTCTCTGTATTTTGCACCTTACTCTGGCTGGAAGATTTTGGGGGTCAAGTAAAAAGACAAGATGGGGGTGCTGCAAGCTTGACATCTGCCCAGTCCTGTCCTTGGATTTTTGCTGTCACCTTAACATGAACTGAGTGTGTCCTTAGAAGGCACCCAACCTTGTGCATTTCAGAGGGAGTTTGTTGATGTCGCTGGGCAAGCTGCCTTTCAGTAAAGCCGTTCTACCATTACTGATCTTTCCACTGATGAAGAAACCTGGAACACAGTGTGAAAACCAGTACAGTATTCTAATAAACACCTTCTGTGTGTTACCTGTTGGGGCAAGCCACAATTCGGATTATCCTATCGTTTTCTGTAAAGTTGCTGCACATTTTCTGCTCAGCTTGGTGTGCCAAGAATGCTACAGGCTAACCTGGGCAGGTTTTTAAGAGACCTCTTGCTGCTTATTGTCACAGCTGGTTACATTAAGCCAGTGTGGTGTAATGGTGAGAGTGTTGGACTAGGACATGGGAGACCAGGGTTTGAATCCCCACTCTGCCATGAATTTCATTGGGTGACCTTGGGCCAGTCACTATCCTTTAGCCTAACCTACCTCACAGGGTTGTTATGAGGGTGAAATGGGGAGGGAAGGGAACCATGTCCACCACCTTGAGCTCCTTGGAAGAAAAAGGTGGTATATAAATGCAATAAACAAATAAAACTTTTAATACTGGTGGTAGTGAAGGTATCATGGGTAATGGAATTGAGGCCAATGCTGGCTCTCCAAACCCTTCTGTCTTGCCCTAGGGCAGTGTTTCTCAACCTGTGGGCCTGTGGGTCCCCAGATGTTGTTGGACTACAACTCCCATCATTCCTAGCCAGCATGATCAATGGGCAGGGATGATGGGAGTTGTAGTCCAACAACATCTGGGGACCCACAGGTTGAGAACCACTGCCCTAGGGGCTTTTGCCACACCACACTCCTACTCTGCAAGCTCCCTAGCTGTTTTTTCCTCACTGTAATGTGTCACCGAACCTCTTGCTTCCCTGGATGGAGAATGCAAGTCCCCACACTCCCCTCCGTTGCTAGTAAGCAAGAACCACAAATGTAGGAGCTGCTGTCAATCAGTTTGGGCAATACTGAGCTAGAGGGAGCTATGTTCCGACTCAGAATTAATACCCTTCAACATTTCTCTGGTGAAAATAGGGACATGCTAAGGAAAAGCGGGACATTACGGGATCAAATCAGAAACCAGGATGTAAATCCAAGATTGTCCCTGGAAAATAGGGTCTGATGCCACTTCCTGTCTGTTCCTGTGGCCTGCTAGTGCCAATTACAGAATGTTTATTCATGCTATTAAAATAGATTCTGTTTTGATCGTATGTCCCTTTTGGATGGTGAATATTAGAAATGGAGAGAGCTGGGCTCGGAGTCTCCTTCTAGCTTTCATTATGCCTTTCATAACACTTCAATCAAACTGTGTTGCTCTCTGTTGTTGATTTAACCTTTGTTGGCGCTAAGAGCTTTAATTGGCTGCTCATTTGGCCCTTTTCTTAGAAGCTAATGCACCATTACTGGCGTAGGAAGAGGGGCTCTTTGCCAGGCTAAACAGTTGGGAGTTTTCAAAGTGACAAAGCATATTACCAATAGTTTGTGCTTTCCACACAAAGGGCCCCTTCATAGGTTATTCCCAGGGCCAAGAAGCAGCAAAAGACCTGGATGTCTCAGCAGCATGTTCACCTTGTTCTGCTGGTTGACACATCACTGATGTGGTCCAAAGGAAAGCAGAGCAATACGTTTGGCACCAGCTTGGCTGAAGAAGTCACCAGAAGTTGTATAAGGCACCGTCCAACCATCTTAGGGACTCCACTCTGGATTTGTGTAGGGTTTATTCCTTAGCCTTTTCTTCTCCCAAAGATATCCCACAAGGCAGCAGAGGTTTAGGATCAGAGTTTTCCTTGTCCTGGATGGGCTACCTTCCCCATCTGCCTCTCACTTCCCTCTACAACATGTGCAAAAGCCACCTTCTTGACCGTTGGACCCACTATTGGTCTCATCCACTCAATCCGCTGCAGCCTGTCTTTGCATATAGGAGAAGTCCCTAACTCACTAATGGCTTGAGACCCATCAGCTCCCCTCACCTGGTTCAGACAGCCAGTCAAAGCCATTTCCCAGAGTGTGGTCGCTGTCACATCCTAACAGCTTCTAGGAGCCACAGGTGAGAGCTCAGTGCGGGGTGGTGGCCAAAGGTGGGAAAACTACCCTAGGAGGAGCATGACGCCCCCTACCAGAGGCACTACCCCTCCCCTAATGCCCCATACACCCCAATTATGTGAGTGGATTTCATAGGAGCCACCTCCTAGGGGCCAAGGTCCCATAGATTATTTGAGGGGGCTGGAGGTCCCCAAAGTTCATGGGCATTGCGACTCAAATAGTGTCCATGAGTGATCACATCTTGTGATCCATTATGCAGGGTAGGGCTTACCTGCCGCCCCCCAATATTTTATTCAGGTTGACACCCTTGTTGGACGTCAAATAATTCTCCCTTGCCCCCAAAAAGCAAATGAAAAATATAAAGCCTTTGCAAAGCGTCATGACTCCTGCCTCTTTGCAAAAGTTTAACATGTTGTTTAGTCGTTTAGTCGTGTCCGACTCTTCATGACCCCATGGACCAGAGCACTCCAGGCACTCCTGTCTTCCACTGCCTCCCACAGTTTGGTCATACTCATGTTTGTAGCTTCGAGAACACTGTCCAACGATCTCGTCCTCTGTCGTCCCCTTCTTCTTGTGCCCTTCATCTTTCCCAACATCAGGGTCTTTCCCAGGGAGTCTTCTCTTCTCATGAGGTGGCCAAAGTATTGGAGCCTCAGCTTCACGATCTGTCCTTCCAGTGAGCACTCAGGGCTGATTTCCTTAAGAATGGATACGTTTGATCTTCTTGCAGTCCATGGGACTCTCAAGAGTCTCCTCCAGCACCATAATTCAAAAGCATCAATTCTTTGGCGATCAGTTTAACATACTTAGGGCCATTTACTCACCAAGAAACTTGCCTGGCTCCTTCAGCCGCTCAGAGATTGGGGTGGCAGGCCACAGAATTATTCTGCTCTGCAAGAGTTGCATATGTTCCACATGCCTCTGGAGCCCGACATCTCCCCATAGGAGAGAGACATGAATTGCCTTTTGGATGTTTATGCATCCGTTTTTCACTTTTCATTGCACTATCTGTAGGGTGAACCCATAATAAAGTGAGGAGGGAGTGAAGTGATGGATGATCTGCCACTCCAAATCCCTGCTGGCTTGTTTCCCGGGAGCAGATCTTTGCATTCTGAAATCCACTCCTGTTGAAACCAATGGGCACAAATTAGCTACGTAAGCTCCAGCCTTAATATAGTTGATGGGCCTGATCCTGGGGCCTCTTGTGCGAATGAAAGAAGCTTTGGTTCCAGCGGATGCATGACCATCCGGCAACCTGCGCTAGAACGCCTTGTTTGGGGGCTTGCTTTGGCGGTTCCCTCACTGTGAGAAGCAAAGCTACAGGGAACCAGGCAGAGGGCCTTCTTGGTAGTGGCGCCCACCCTGTGGAATGCCCTCCCATCAGATGTCAAAGAGATAAAAAGCTACCTGACATTCAGAAGACTTCTGAAGACAGCCATGTTCAGGGAAGTTTTTAATGTGTGACATTTTAATGTATTTTTAATCTTTGTTGGCAGCCGGCCAGAGTGGCTGGGGAACAAATAACAAAAATTATTATTATTATTATTATTATTATTATTATTATTATTATTACTGCTTGTGGAAAAATCGCAAGGGGCAGGGTTGCCCCTGCCGAGCTCTCTGCAGTTATACAGAAACTTTCTGCAATGAGTGCACACAGATACATATTTATGGAAGGGCAAACACAGAAGTTGCCCATGGTGCCAAATTTGAGGCAGCAGCATTTTCCTGCCTTGCCACTTACAGGCTGCCCTCCTCCCAGACTAGATATATGCACAGGAAGGCATATGTTGTTGTGCTGCCGCCGCCACCATTGCCATTGAATAGGAGCAATTTGTCTCCAAGGTTGAAGCATAAAATTACCCAGCATGCAGTAACACACATAGCATGCTGGTTGACTTTGTGCCCTCCACCACTGGGCAAGGGATGCTGATCACTCATATTGCAGAAGGGCAGCGACTGCACTGCACACCTTCCCACCAAAAATAATGGCGAAGGAACAAGTGGAATAGATCACTTGCTTGCTCACTCCTGTTTGAGAGCATTGAGAGTGGAAGGACAGGTGCTAGTGGTGGCTTTTGCACAGGCTAGTAATGCATTCTCTTTCTCCCCTTGCCGGAGTGATAAAAACTTCAGGGTTCAGGCGAAGAGGTCCGAGAGGATCTCCTCTCCACGCTCCCAGGACAGCTTGCTGAAGAGTAGGAAGAATCCCTTTACTTGTGTAGTCTTTGAGATCAAAATGTGGCATAACACTATTATAAAACCTTTATGGGAAGGTCATCCCCCCCCAAGGCCCCCCAGAATGCTCAACCTGGCTCCCACCCTTTTAGGTCAGTAATTCCACAATTGGGCGTCATGCCACAGTTAAGAACTGCAGCGAACTCCAAAGGAAGTTGGGTTTTTTCTGGGATTAGCTGCAGGTATAACCTGTTATCCTTGTTTCACCAGCCTTTAGCCATCAATCCGCAGATGAGAGAGAGGCAGCCTTCATTGAAAAGGACTCATTTGAAACTGAAAATATGAACAGAGAGTGTCAGCTACTGCTTTGGTGTCTTCTTTTTTAAAAAAAGATCACTTTAAAAGGGTAGGATCACTTTTAGTGTGTTTATGTTTTGTTGTGCTTTCACTCTCTTTTGTATTTGCGTTGTGTCTCCCCCCCCCAATAAATTACCTAAAGACTTTTCTCTGTATCGTGATGAACAAACAACAATAATAACAACGATACATCGTAATTATTAATATGACCACTAATGGAAATACAATAAAATAATAATATTCATAATAATGTATATGGGTATATGTATATGGTGGTTCCCTCAGGGAACCAGACAGAGGGCCTTCTTGGTAGTAGCGCCTGCCCTGTGGAATACCCTCCCACCAGATGTCAAGGAAATAAGCAGCTATCTTCTTTTTAAAAGACGTCTGAAGGCAGCCCTGTTTAGGGAAGTTTTTAATATTTAATGCTGTATTGTTTTTAACACTTACCGGTAATTGGGAGCCGCCCAGAGTGGCTGGGGAAACTCAGCCAGATGGACGTGGTATTAATATTATTATTATCATTATTATTATTTTATTAATTCTTGCTTACCTCCAGAAGGTTGTCCTTGTTTGCCTGAACCTCTTACATACCCCACGTTTTAATAGCTCTGTCATACATTCCAAACATATTAGGTGAACATTTGCTCCTTTTAAAGATGTAACATCAGAATATAAATGTCATAAATTGAAGGATATGAGGGAGACATCTAAAAGACATCTGCAAGCCCTTCCTATCTTCTTCTGCCCTTAACACGCTTATTTGAATACAATTTTTCAAACTTTTCCTCTGAAATGCTGCATAATAAATACAGAATCTTAGCCATATCTCTCTGATACATCTTGAGATGTTTTTGATTCACAAGTAGAGAAACCCCTCTGCAAGTACTGCTGAGCTGCCTGACAGATTTAATTAATTTACTGACAAGGGCAAAGACAATCATTGTGTGTTGAGCAACTTAATGAAAGCTGGATTATGTGACGTCTGCTCTCGGGTGGGTTATATTGATGCCTTTTGCATGGGGGCAAGTCAAGCAGGAGACCTTTGGCCCTGGAATCCCTCTTGGGGGGAATTCCTGGGGTTCTTCTGATAGCTGGAGAGGGGACAAGTAGTGACCTGAGCTCTTGCCTGAGGCCATCGCTTTGAAGAGACTGAACGTTTCACCCCTGTGTGTATCCAAAGGGAACTGGCCGCCGTCGGAGGGTCTCAGAGGGTAGCAGCTCACTAGCACTGGCAGAATTGACTAACCAAGATGACAGTGGCCACAAGAGGGTTTCCCCTCTCCCCTCCAGGATACAATGTGAGGGCGTTCTATTAACTTTACATCTTTCATAAATACACACACACACACACACACACACACACACACACAGTTATACAGTGGTACCTTGGTTCCTGGACGGCTTAGTTTACGAACAAATCGGCTCCCAAATGCCACAAACCTGGAAGTAAGTGTTCCGGTTTGTGAACATTTTTCGGAAGCTGAACGCCCATTTCGGGTGTCGGCATTGTTTCCGGAGCCAACCAGACGCCGTGCCTTGGTTTTCAAACGTTTTGGAAGTCAAACAAACTTCCAGAACGGATTGAGTTCGAGAACTACCACTGTATAGTTATATAGTTATAGATTTAGGGTAAACCCTAGAAATTAATAAATTCTAGGATTGTGATTATTTGGGGTGGGAAGGGAGAGATATAAGCTGAAGAAGAATTCCTGGCTAAGCTGGCCAAGCTGGGGCCATTGAGAGGTCATTGTGGGTTGTTGCCAATGCAAGAAAACTCCCCACACCTCCTCTGAGGTGTGAACAGAGACGGGGTTTGAAAGGTTTGAGAGGTGATGGGCTGTGCCTTTGAGGGGACAGAAAAAGGGTTTCCTGGGAGGAAGAAACAGGAAGAAGGGGTGGGATCCATTTTGGGGAAGGCTGGCAACAGGCAGCTTACACTGCTGCCTCTGGGAATGACTATGCCGTAAGATCTAGACTCCCTCCATGCAGACTGAAGGTGTAAACAGGTGAATAAACTGTATTTCTTAAAGCACGACAGTCTGTGCTGTGTCTTCTGTTCTCCAAAGTGACACAGACCCCGTGTGTGTTTGTCTGGGACCCCATGGGCTCTTGCCACCCACCGCTTGGTGCAGAGAGGAGCAGGCACCCGGTTTTCATAACAATATCATGCAAGAAGGAGCTAGTAATATGCTCTGTAAGGTTCATCCACCAAAACAAAACTTCCCTATTCAAGGTTGCCTTCAAATATGCCGCTGGTTGAAAATTAAGATAGGAATCTGAGCTGAAGGGGGTGTAGCTATGCTCGTTGTGAACTGCTGTTGCAAACAGCCGGTGTTAATGATGCGATTGCGAGTCCTGTACAGTCTCCACTTAATTTCCTTCTGACGTTTCTGACCTTTCTGACTCCACACACACCAACACTTAAACTGCTTTACACTTTCTTACTCTTTAAGATGCCACAAGATAACCTTGCTTCTTCAGAAAAAGAAAAAAACACATTTAGGAGTTCATAGGAACATTGACATCAACACAGAAAACCTGTACAGCCAGTGCTATTTTTCTAGAAAAAGGGGAGCAGGAACTCACTATGGAAGGCCTCCCTTGTTCTCTTAGAATGGCAATGGCGCCCACCTGAGAGGTGCCAAAACTGAGTTTTCAGGCTGGGGGAAAAAAAGCTCTGTGTGCAGCGTTGCTTGTCTAGCATATAAAGCAATTGGGTAGAAGTGGGGAGCAATGTGCCACAAATGGGGAGCAGGGACACCAACACAAAGCAGGTTAACTTCCCCAGTCTCTGCTTTCAACAGAAACAGACACACTTTGTTCCCCAATCTCTGTATTTAAGGCACAGGATGTGATGGGAGTTGCAGTCCACCAAAGTAAAAAGTGGAAGGATCCTCTCTTCACATCAAGAAAACGCCTTTTCAAACTGCTACTTTACATACAGACGTTATTTATTCCCCTAGCTCTGCATTGTTTGTGAAGAGTTTCTGGAAATTGTAACTCTTGTGAAGTATAAACCACACGGAATTCTTTGAGGGAAAGCATGTTTTTTAAAGAGAGAGAGAGAGAGAGAGAGAGAGAGAGGGAGCTATATATGAATGAATAGTTGTTACACAGGCTAAAATGTCTTATTTCCAGCTTTTGGAGTGGTTCCATCAAACAGTAGACCACTGCCGTTCATGCATAGAATGAGTCACAGCATAAGACAACCTATAAAACATTTAACACCAGTTCAAGAGGATGGAAGGGCGTGCCTGCAAGCCACACCTGTGTATTATTTACCCAGACTTGTGTGGATTCCTCCCCCGCCCTGGTTTCACTTACAATTCAAAAGTATCTAGCAGGCAGGAAGGCTAAAGACATGGAGAGAACAAGCATCTCCAAGGCTGGCTTTGAACTTAGCAGCCCCTCTCCCTGTTCCCGCCCCCCTCCGGCACTATCAATAAGCAGCAGACATGTGCAGTTAAAAGAAGAAAGGTATAATTACCAGGCCCTCTCCCTATAATCTGTCTCTCTCAAGGTGCAATTGGTTTATACCTTGGTATGTAAATTACTGGTTAAAGACGTTTAAACTGGTCACATCAAAGATCTTGCCTAAAAAGAACATCAAAAGAGACTCTTTCAAAATTAGTACTAGAATGAGATGTTCCCTTTTAAAAAAAAAAAAAAAAACAAGGAAGGACTTGATCCCATGAGCTGCTTCCTGCTCGGGCAAGTAAAAATGCAGGGTAGAATATGCCTCCACAATGTGTGGGTCTCTGGACGTTGAACAGAGCCCACTAGCCACAAAATGTACTAGCTCGCCAAGGGGCTGATAAATGTCATATGTTTTCTGCCTTGCATGGGAGGGTGAAATAATAGTGTTACGAAAGTTGGGTGCCACCTGCACTCTCTGCCGAGTGATTCCAGGGGGTTCCAGGCACTCACCCAGGTTCTGTGTTCCTTTGGAGAACTGAGACACGGCGGAGACTGTCATAGTTTTAAGAAATACAGCAGTATCTCGGGTTAAGTACTTAATTCGTTCCGGAGGTCCGTACTTAACCTGAAACTGTTCTTAACCTGAAGCACCACTTTAGCTAATGGGGCCTCCTGCTGTTGCCGCACCGCCGGAGCAAGATTTCTGTTCACATCTTGAAGCAAAGTTATTAACCTGAAGCACTATTTCTGGGCTAGCGGAGTCTGTAACCTGAAGCGTATGTAACCTGAGATACCACTGTATGGTTTATTCGCCTATTTGAACCTTCAGTCTGTGTGGAGGGAGTCCAGATCTTATAGCATGGTTATTCTGAGAGGGACTTGACATGGAGTCGATGGCATCTTCAGCCAGCCAGCCCAAGACAGATCCCAGCCTTTTTTCTTCTCTTCTTCTTCTTCCCAGCACACCTTGCTCTAAAGACTCCATTTTCCTGTCATTGCGAACTCATACCCCATCACCATGGCAACCTCTGTTTGCCCAGGCTCTCAGATGAGCCATCAACACCTTTTGTCATGTTAATGCCTCTATCCCAGGTGAGGCCCTGGCTTGGAAAGGAAGCTTAGCCTGTGCTTTTCCACTGGCCTCCAGTCTTCCCTTCAGTACTCCAAATAATCAAAATCATTTCTCATTTATTAGTTTCTGTTGTTGTTGCCACAATACATTTGCTGGACTGCAATGGTCTCATTGGGTCATAAATTGGCGTGGGGCTCGGTTGAAGGCTCTTGTGTGGATATACAAAGTCCTGAACAACTTGTGTCCAGGATACCTTACGGACTGCCTGGGCTTTTATATCCCAGATTGATCAACAAGTGCTGCTGGTTGTCCTCCATATTGCAAAGGCCTGATCCGCCTTAACAAGAAGCTGGGCATTTAGTGCCACCATCTCAATGCTGTTGAACACTCTTCTAGCCAAGATGCATCCTCCCTTTTGACTTTCAGGCATCTCATGGAGATTTTTTTATGCCTACATGCAACTGTTTAAAACCTTTTGATCTACTGGTTATTTTAATTATTACTTTGTTCTGTTGTTAATAGTTGTTTCTTAATGGCACACAGCTTGTTGGACACCGCCCTGGTATAGTAGCTGCTTTGTGCGGTCAGACACCCCATTTGGGTGGATCTCCTCCTCCTCACCCAGGTGAGTAAAGAAGTCATTGCTAGGAACAGTCCTGGGCACATGTTGGAATTCCTGCATTCAAATGGCCTGATTTAGAAGTTTTGGGAAGTGATCTTTTACACTGGGATTTTTGTTGGCATCCGTCTGCCTCGGGAGACAATGAAGGAGTGCACCTTTGGGGTGAAATCAAACTGTTGGAAGATTATGGCGCCTGCTGTGGCTGTAGAGACCGATAGGGGAGAGACATGTTTTGCTGCAGCTGGGGCAGATGAAGGCGTCTGGTTGTGCTGCTGCAGATGCACCATGGCGTTTCTTCTCTCTCTGCTCCTCCCAGAAGTCATTCCTCCTCTGGTTACTGGTATGGATGTACAACCTGACTTGTCTATCTCTAGGCACTGCAGTCGTCTACAAGGGATTCACGCACGGCAGGGTTGATGCTGCCAGCCTTCATGTCACATTTGCAGACATCTTTATAACGCAGAGCTGGTCTGCCTGGTGCCTGAAGCCAACTCTCTGTAGAGCACGTCCTCGGGGACCCTGCCATCTTCCATTCTGTGGAAACATCACTAAGTGGGCTTGGGAGAGCAAATCTTTCTTTGAGACTCTGTTCTGCTGTGTCTTCCAAATCTTCCTGACACAGTGCATGTGGAAGGCATTGAGGTGTCGCTCTTGGCGGTTGTAAGTTGCTCATGTCTCACTTCCATAAAGCATTGTGCTCAACCCATAACCTTGGTAGACCTTCTTTCTTGGTATTGGACATTAGCATCACATTCCTTTGCAAGGCAGGAATTCCTCCTCCTCCTCCGCCGCCTCCTCCTCCTCCTCCTCCTCCTCCTCCTCCTCCTCCTCCTCTTCTTCTTCTTTACAACGCCATTACAGCTACTGTATGTCAGTTCAAGTACAGTGGTACCTCAGGTTAAGAACTTAATTCGTTCCGGAGGTCTGTTCTTAACCTGAGGTACCACTTTAGCTAACGGGGCCTCCTGCTGCCGCCGCGCCGCCAGAGCACGATTTCTGTTCTCATCCTGAAGCAAAGTTCTTAACCTGAGGTACTATTTCTGGGTTAGCGGAGTCTGTAACCTGAAGAGTCTGTAACCCAAAATACCACTGTATCTTGCTGCACCATCTCATTTCTTTTTCTTTTTTTTAAATAATTTTCATTAGATTTTTTTTTACAATTTAGAATATTAATTTATACAGCCTTAAAATATCAGTGACTTTCCTTCTTCTCTTTCCATGGTTCATTTTACATAGCATAAATCCCTGCATACATTTTATATAAACTAAACCTTTCAGTATTCCATTATTACTTCTATCAAAACTTATTTACACTGTTGAATTTATCTTAATGCTGCCAACGTTTTCAAGTGTACACAATTTCCCCCCATATATTCAGTAAACATTTTCCAATTTTCTTTAAACGAATATTCTTCTTGTTCTCTTATTCTGTACATTAGATCTGCAAGCTGCACATATTCCATCAGTTTAAGTTGCCATTCTTCTTTGGTCGGGACCGCACTCGTTTTCCGTTTTTGGAAACAAAACACGGGCCACCATAGTGGCATACATAAATAGCCTTTTTTTTGACACCTGGGAATTTCCATCTGAATTATCCTCAGCAAAAAGGACTCTGGTTTTTGTTGTTGTTTGTTTGGAAAGGTGCTTTTAAACATTTTTTTCAATTTGTTTTAAATTATTTCCCAATACTCTTTTACCCTTTTACAGGTCAACCACATTTCTCATAACATTCAGAACTGGTGCCTGGGTTTGCTTGCATTCCTCTTCCCTCCTCTTTCCTTTTCCCTTTTGTGTCAGGTTTTTAAAAAAACATTGTAAGCCTGAGGGCCGTGACTCTATTATCTTCATCAATTCATAAGTCATGGTTGAGAGCTTTTCTTTCTGAAGAGTGTGGTAAAAATGCTCTGAATGAATGAATGTGTTACAATGTTAGCATTCCAGTGAATTGTGTTCTCTGCTTTGATTATAATTACGTCTGCCAGCTTTAACTGGTTTATTAAGTGGTTTGAATCAACAAAGCTAATTTATCAGTCCTGATTTTAATTGGTTCAGCTGTGAATTAAGGACACAACCCTAATTTCCTAAGCCTTTTTTTTTTTTTTTGTCCGTTATTGAAGTTGGGCATGAAAAATAAAATCTTTAAGTGAATTTTCCTTCTAACAATGATTGGTATCATTTGATTGCTGTTGAATTATAAATGCTTTTGACACTTCATTCAGGATCTCAAAAATTATGCCTATTTGGGTATAATACAGTTTGATTTAAATTTAATCCATTAATGAAATAATCCATCATCTGAAAGGTAGACAATTGATCAACTAAAATATTATAGCTGAGTGACAGCTCCAGTTACACTTAATTGATTTTTTTAAAATTTTAATTAAGGCACAACCCTTCAATTTAACTCAAAGAAACATAATGTAATGCCCAGTCCCCTCCAGCTAGTTTGTAACAAAAACATTTTTCTGTTTTAAACAGTTTTATTTTTATTATTATTCTGGGATTCAGGGTTTCCTGGCTTAGGTCTAGGGAGCGGTTCATTTCTTTCATTGTCAGGTGCACTCCTGAGTAGGTATTAATCAGGGCAGGGAATAAAAAGCCTGCCTATAGGCAGGAATATATTTGTGTACTAATAATAGTTCTGGCATTACTTGACAAAAACCAGGGAGAGGAGAGGGATGGAAATCCAAGGGGAGCACAACTTCTCTGGCCCTCTATGCTTTAGATTCCCCCATTGCATATACAGTGGTACCTCGGGTTAAGTACTTAATTCGTTCTGGAGGTCCGTTCTTAACCTGAAACTGTTCTTAACCTGAAGCACCACTTTAGCTAATGGGGCCTCTTGCTGCTGTCGCGCTGCCGGAGCACGATTTCTGTTCTCATCCTGAAGCAAAGTTCTTAACCTGAAGCACTATTTCTGGGTTAGCAGAGTCTGTAACCTGAAGCGTCTGTAACCCGAGGTACCACTGTACATATTGTTAACTTTCCTGTATTTGACACTGAAGCTAGACTTCCTTCTCCTCCAGTAAATAATAAATAGGGGCTTTGTCCTTTCTAGTTGACAGTGGGTGAGAGTAGAAGGTAGATCTGGATCTACTGGTAATAGATCTCTAGGTGATTTTCAGGAAATCAGCAAATATTTCTGATTCCAACTTAGCAACACCCAAATTACCCCCTCCCTCTTAATTATACTGCTGAAAGTGTGGCGGTCACCAAAAGTTAACTCAGTTCAGTCTTGGTACTCAACATGAATTCTTGCGCTTGGGATTCCTCAATTCTAATTTTGTCTTTTGCACCAAGCACTGTTCTAGTTAAATCAAAGAAACCGCAAGGGAAATTGCAGAAGCCTCAAGTCTGACCACCCCTAATCTAAGCTGTCTTGGTCCCATTCAGGTGTCCAGTTCCTGTTGTGGGTGCCAGATTTAGTCGTTGGAGAAATCCGATGAAAATGGAGACAGGAACAGGAACTGTTGGTGTTCACTTATTTGTCCCATTTCCAGAATGCAAATCAATTCAGCTAAATCGTTTGAGCTGTGATTCCTGCATTGCAGGAGGCTGGACTAGATGGCCCTTGAGGTACCTTCCAACTCTACTATTCAATGAATACGATTGGTATTTGCGGTGATGGTTGTTTTCCGTCTGCAATTGATGCCGAATTGATTATTTCCTCCTCTTTGCAGTGTGTTTCATTTGCATTGAAATGAATGCTACGACAAAACGACGTAACAATAATGCAATTAAAGATGTAAAATTCTGCCATAACAGATGAATACTGTAGTTTTTGTTGGAAGCTGAATTGCAGTGGAACAGAAACAGTGCTGCATGTGGTGAACATGGGTCAGAATAGAATCAGTGCCCTAAGGCTAAGATAGCTCAGTCAGTAGAGCATAAGACACTTAATCTCAGCGTTGTTGGTTTGAGCCCCGTGTTGGGCAAAAGATTGTTGCATTGCAGGGCTTTGGACTAGAGCAGGCATAGGCAAACTCGGCCCTCCAGATGTTTTGTGACTACAACTCCCATAATCTCTAGCTAACAGGACCAATGGTCAGGGATGATGGGAGTTGTAGTTCCAAAACATCTGGAGGTACGAGTTTGCCAATGCCTGGACTAGATGACCCTCATGGTCCCTTCCAGCTCAACAGTTCTATGCTTCTTGCATCCTTAGTGACAAATGTGCAAAGAAGCTAGTGAGAATAGTTGAGCTACATCCCATGAAAATAACAAAAGCCTTGGTTTAGCCTCTTGGCCATCTGCATGGTGCCACTTTGAAGGGATGAGAGCTTTCTCTGCAGGGATGGGGACCCTAATTGAGCGAGGCAGACACATGCACCCTTCAAACTGCTGCTGCACAGGCACCAGGTGTTATGCGTGGCATTCTCATCTGCACGTCCTCACCAGGCCCCTTCAGTGTGGTTGATTCCCTTGGAGAGTCTCACTCAAAAAAACAGGCCTCCTTGTGCTTCTTTCACTTCCAGCCTGCAAAGAGAATAGGAGGAGGAAACAGTTGGGGCTTCCCTGTTCAAGCAGCATGTTTTCCCCCTGAGGATGGGTGAGGAGGGCCTTCCCCTGTATCTGCATTGAGTAAATTAAAATCCGTCTTGATTTTAATTTCTGGGAGGGTGGTGGAGACTTGGAAGGGAATGGGAGCTTTTCCAGCCGTGATGCCTTTCTAAAAGGATTAGCAAGCCTTGAGCAAGCCTAGGGCTTTTTTCTGCACGGTGCGTTCCATCGTTCAAACATCCCAGGGCATGCACACGGCCCAGCCAGTCCCTGTCCCACAAGAAAAGGCTCCTTCATAATTTCCTTTATACTGGGGGGAGGAACTTGAGGAATCAGAGATGGGGCTTTGATGTGTGGAGCCATTCCCAACACTCCCCCCACCCCTCCTGACTCTGCTTGCTCACCCTTAACCCATGTCAGGTGCCCGGCTGTAAAAGGAGCCAGGTCTGGTTCTCTTTTTACAGCTGCGTTTGAGGAAGGAATCTCAGCACCCAGTGCTTTTCTCCCCTATGCATGTCAACGTTGCACACTTACCAAAACAAAAGAGGAGCCGCGGCCCATTTTTGCATTTGATCATTCCAGTATCACAGCCTTAGCACCATCACCCCGTCCGTTCTTTGCACTCAAGCAAAGTAAAAATACCTGAGCTGCAGGATTCCAATTGGCATGATTTCTCTTTACTTTGCACTAACTGAGTCTGCAGTTTAAAACTGTTTTTAAATTAAATAATAAAAACAAAACATTTTTAAAAAAATAACCACCAAAAAATAATAATACAAGATTTTACTTCGCTGGAACATCTAGCTTCGTATTGTCAGCTCTAATTGGTAGTGGCTTTCCAAGGTCTTTCACACCCCTTGCTACATGACACTTTGAATGGGAGATGCTGGGGATTTAGCCTTCAGCCTTCTGCATGCCAAGCACACGTCCTAATTCTTATATCACCCATATGGTGTGAAATGGCACACTTAGTGTCCATGCGCATGCATTTATACCTATTTGCATTAGAGACAGGATTAGGGTTGCCAGGTTAGGAGCATCCCTGACCCTGAGATTTCAAGGCCCAAACCTTAGACCAGGCATAGGCAAACTCGGTCCTCCAGATGTTTTGGGACTACAACTCCCATCATCCCTAGCTAACAGGACCAGTGGTCAGGGATGATGGGAGTTGTAGTCCCAAAACATCTGGAGGTACGAGTTTGCCTTTGCTTGCCTTAGACCTAGCGGAGGCCCCATGTGATGTCACGGGAAGGTGACTGAAAGCAAGGCCCTATTATCAGCACTGTCAGGTGCATGACAGGTCTACCTCGGGACCAAGTTGAAAGGGAAGAATCTAATTTTGCAGATTTAGCCATGACTTGAGTTCAAACCATGGCAATGAGGGAGAGTCTTCCTTGTCCCCACAGCTTGAATAACTTCTGCAAAATTAGAGGGTGCTCCCAATGCATCCATTTCCATTTGTCCCCAACATTTACTGCTAGGAAGAGTCCCATGGATGCAGGAGACAAAATTGTTTTGCTTAAGGATTGTCCACATTTGAGCATTATTTAACTGCTAATCCACCCCCTGCCCCCCAATTCGGATTAGGCAGTAGCAGTCCACACCCGCAGGTTTTTGAATTTGTATGTGAGAAGCAACTTCCATCCTTCCTGTTCATACCAGTAGGCTTTCTCTTTTGTGTTTGTCGCTGCCTTCTAATCTGATTGTTCTGTTATGCCTGTTAAATAACAATAGGCATGAGGACAGATAGCTGTGAGCACATATTATTAATTAATTTATTTAGCTCCACCCCAAAACATGTGCAAAACCATTGCAAAGTTGCATGTGCAAATCTGTGGGCTCAAAAGAGGGGGAGGGGTTCAGTTCAGGAGCAAACCAGAATTAGTTCACAATCACAGCCAGAAAGAAAAGCCTTGAGGAAGTAGTGAGCATAGAAAGGGGAGTGGCAGAAAGTGTTGATGGATCCACTTACCCCAGAACTCCAAAGCAAGGTAGCTCAGTCGGTAAAGCATGAGACTCTTAATCTCAGGGTTGTGGGTTTGAGCGCCACATTGGGCAAAAGATTCCTGCATTGCAAGGGTTGAATTAGGATCCTAGTGGTCCCTGCCAACTCTACAATTCTGTGGTTCTAAATCACCTGTGACCCGAGTGGGACAGTTTGGAGCCCAATTTCTCCCATCTTATCTTATTATCCCCACTATCAGGTAAACCCAGGTTTTAAAAGAGGGCACTCAGATTGTGATGTTTGAGGTTGTTATCATGTGGACCACACAAAGTAAATGTGAATGCAAACAGCTGCAAACACACAGTAAACTCTGGTGTGGACACTGGACAGCTTTTCTGCTGGGCCAGCACCTCTACTACAGCTATTTCTTTAAACTGAAAATTCAGATTCACGTGTTCTGGTGGTGGTAGCCAGCACACAAGCTGTGTGAGAGAAGGATGATTTCAAAATTATAGCTGCGGAACAGGACGTCTGTGGATGATGGAGGCGTTAAACATAACAGACTTTTACTGTAGCCAGTAAAAGTCTAGTATTTCTTTAACTAGCACTCCCGTTGCCCTTAAGCATGCAAAAATATATACAGGTGCTTGCTTGATTTATATCCTTTCCAACAGGCTATTCGCAAAGCACATAAAGCTGAGCAGCTGTTTAAATCTTTGCAGGATCTTTGCCATTGTTCCCTTTAGCTTTGCAGCTGTATCAACTGATGGCAACAGAAGGGATTTTTAAAGATGTTAAAAAATGACCCCACTGAGAAAAAGCTTTACCAGTTGGAGGGCTTCAAAGCGCTTCTAGAACGTAAAGAACAGCAACAGCTTTGAAAAGCTGCATGAATCATAATATTCCTCCACAATGTTATTACACACATATAATTTACTTTATTGCAGAAGAGCTTTGAATCCCCTTTCTCAGTAGCTGTTCCCAACGAGAGTCCAGCTAATGAAATCATGGTGCCAAGCAGGGAAACTTTTTTTGTACATACTTAAAGCATATGTCCATAAAGAAATGCAGTGAACTCAGCTGACTACCCTTTCCTGTAAACGCCGTTCATGGGAAAGATGGGCAGGACCAAGAAATTTCCCAATCCCTGAACCGTTTTGCCAGCAAAAGAAGCAGCTAGCAGTTAGGGTGAGCAGAAACTGGCTTGGTCTCCTTTTTGTGACTTTTTCGGGACTTCAAAATCACTAGGTGGTTCCCCCACCCCAACAACCGAGAGATAAATAGCAACTTCTGAACATCAAAAATGCTGTTAGTAGGGGCGGAGGAGGAATCTGTTTTAAATGCATTTATACACAGAATTGGGTGATTCTGACCAGTCGAGCTAATAATATGCAAACAATGCATATATGTATCAGGGAGTTATCACGACAGATAGAAGGAAGTTTTCATGCAGCACATAAACAATGGCACTTGTCCCCAAAGGAGGCAGTGAGGGCCACCAGCTTGGATGTCTTTAAAAGAGCATTAGACAAATTCATGGAGGAGAAGGTTACTGATGACCACTAGTCACGATGGCTACGCTCTGCCACCATAAGTTGGAAGTAGTAATGTTTCTGAAAGCCTCTCCTCCTCCCAGAGGGGAGGAGTCGTGATTGGGAGCCGTCCCCGCATTTTGCAGGGGGCGTTCCGGCCCTTGCTTGCCGTCACTGCTGCCGCGCCGTGCTCCTGGGCAGCCAACCAATCGAAGGGAGGCTCGGGGGCGGGGTTTAGCTGCTCAAATGTGGCTGCGGCAGCCCTTTGCTAGAAGCCACAGTGGGAGAGAGTGTTTTATGTTCAAATCTTGCTTGCAGGTTTCCCATAGGCCTCTGGTCGGCCACCATGAGAACAAGATGCCAGACTTGATGGGTCATGGGCCTGATCCAGCAGACTCTTAAGTTCTTACATTTTTATGCCCTGAGTGGTACTATATATTTTCAGCAAATTCTTTAAAGTATTAACACATGCATATTTTAATACAGCTAGATGCATTGTTATATCTGTTTATGTGTTGGCTGATTGAGGAAACTTTATAGTGTCAATGCATATAAATATGATGTTTTTATTTTTTATTATTAGTTAACTTTGTATACCCCCCTAGGTCCCAGGGCAGTTTGCAACAGAAAAATACAAAATCAGATTACAAAATATATAATAAAAAGCGAAAGCAAACCGATACCCCGCACTCCCACGAACACATTTTAAGAGCCCTAGTATGTTAATCAGCCTAATGCCTGTTAGAAGAAAAAAGTTTTCACCTGGCGCCTAAAGACATGTAAGGAAGGTGCCAGGTGAGCGTCCTTGGGGAGAGCAATCCACGAAAGGGGAGCCACCGCAGAAAAGGCATTGAGAAGTATTCCTATCTTTAGCAGAACTGGTCAAACAAACAAACAAACACCTCCTTGCTTCTCATTGAGCTCAAGGAAGAGAAAGGGATTGGGTGTGTGTGAAACTATGTGGATAAGCTTTCGTGTGGGTCTTCAGAAAATTCCATCCCTAGCTGCCATTTGAGAAGCTGGTAACCATAGTAGCTAACGAGCTCATTGGCTGTTTTTTTGATGCTGTGGTTGAAGCCCAAGGTGCAAAATCCCATTTCCCCAATGTGCTGTACGGGAGATGATTTCTGGTGGGTGGGCTGCAAGCCATATTATTCAGATATTTGTTTTATATCATTATAGAAGGTTCAGCCTAATTTAGACACAAGAGGTAGGACCCTCTAGCCTATGCCATTTAGGGCAGTTGCTCTACTCTCTTTGCCCAGTGCTTTTTCAAAGGCCATAATAAACCATAATGTAAACATCCACTCTGCAATAAACACCTTTTACCACTGCCTAGTATCAATTAATCTGATATAACTTATTTTATTGAGGGTTTTAGTGTGGCATAAAAGTTGTTAGTTCACCTGTATTCCCCAGAGGCTCCAATGGAAAGTGTTGCAACAATTTTCCTTCTGGATCTGACACTTAGGCATGGTATATAGGCTGCTGCAAAAAGACATGTCATTTCAAAGGACCTCGGAGACTTTTAAGAGCATGATCCAGCGGTTTCAAATGGAGAGATTTAAGCATTTGCTGGATGATTATCCCACTGAAATCATTGGGATGTAAAACACACCCACACACCCACACCCATCAAGCAGCATACATGCAATTCCAAGGTGACACTTACTGGGCCAGATCTGCTTAGTTTCAGCAGCATAACCTTCCTTCAGATCAATATATGATCTGCACAAAATTTGGTGTTGGTCAGCAGCAACCCTAACCCCACTTACGTGAGAGTAAGACCCACTGAATTGAATTGAACTTAGAAGCAGACATGGTTAGAATTCATCCTTAGCCATTTTTAGCCCATTTCACCTGCTGTTTTATATGATTGGGTAGTGAGAGTGCTGTTACTTCTTACTGCTGTTATTTTAAGATTCCTGCTATTGCTTTTGTTGGTTGTGATATTGGTTTCATAATTTTAATAGATGACTTGCATGTTTTGATGTTGAGTGTTTCATTGTTTGCCCTTTTTAATGAAAAACTGCATTGAAGAGCCCTTTGCACCAAATGACAATATTAAAAGTAAAGGACAGTTATAATTGCCCTTCTGAGAACCCAACTGAGACAATAAGACAGGAGTGCTACAATATGGCTTCTTCTTCCACATGGTGCCATTTGCCAAGAGTTGACTGGGCAAGCACAGACTGTGGGTCACAAGGGATTGCTCCCAGGTCTGTAGGTGTGCTCACACTTTCATGGGGACACATGTAGTCGCTAAAAGGCTCATTTCTGAGAATTCTCAATATTACTCTTAGGATATTTACTGGAAATGATTGCATACACACAGAATTGCATTGACCTTGATGACTCTGCTTAGTCTGGATGATTAAGATCAATATTAGTGTGCTTGCTCCAGAGTAGCCCTGCAACCTAAATTAATAGGTGTGAATAAATGTAAACTGGGAAAAGATGCAATCCCCCATCTTACACCAGTGCTGACTAACACAATAAGAGCTTGCCTACCCACCACAGTGATACTTGGATTGCAGTGGTTCTCAACCTGTGGGTCCCCAGATGTTGTTGGACTACAACTCCCATCATCCCTGAGCTCTGGCCTTGCTAGCTAGGGGTGATGGGAGTTGTAGTTTAACAACATCTGGGGACCCACAGGTTGAGAAAGGCTGGCTTAGAGGAAAGCCAAATCTCACACACCATTCTGGGGCATGTGCAGAGTTTCAACTGAATGGAGCTACTCAGTAACATAGTATGCTTACAATATTATGAAGACCTGGTTAGCATGTTGTGGGAGATTTTGCAGTCAAACCTAACAACCCATGTCTATGCTAGCTAGTAAATGTAGGTGTTAAGGACCACAGAGCTGTAAATTGCTAGAGAAGGCTCAGCTTGGTCATGACCCATCAACCCCAGAGAGGGAGGACATAACGTTTTATTTTTCTGTTCTCTCCCTCTCTTGTCTTCTTGAACCATGTAACTAACCAGACGTATTATGCTTGAGCTCCCATGCCCAGACTCCATGTTTAAAGATACTTTTTGTCTTTTGTACTTAATAACTTTTTACTTGTGTTGTTTCTGCTGTAGCATTGAACGATGCTTGTACTCTGGAGGATAGGAATCAAACCAATGGCTTCAAGTTACAAGAAAGGAGATTCTGACTAAACATCAGGAAGAACTTTCTGAGAATAAGATCCTTGTTGTCCCTTCCAACTCTACAGTTCTAAAATTCTATGATGCATGAGTGAGACCTTTGATTACTGTAAGTAAAGCATTTAAACTTACTTAAGTTTGTAGTCTATTCATTGCAAGAGGGATAGAGACGTGGGGAGCACATTGTGAGCACTTAATACTGGGACATTTAAAGGTCTAACAGCCTAGATGCCCTGCATTTTGCAAATGCTGCATATTTGAGTGCTGTGAGTTCTTTTGACTAGAGAGTGAGTCAAGCACCACTCTTTTTGAATTCAAGCAGTCAGCCATTTTTTCTTTTGTGGCTTCCCACACATGTGGGACATCAGAATTAATTGGAATTCCCTAGTTATTTCCCAGCATATGTAATATGAAGACCGTGGCTTGTTGCAAATAGACAGCCTGCTTATGTAGGCTGCTCATTCACGCACAACCCCTTCTTCCCTGGACTGCATGGGTGAAGAAACAACCTAGAGCTCTGGCTTAGTTATATGCAAGCCACTGCTTGTTTCTCTCCAAACAAGTTGTGAGTGTCCGTTTGCACATAACACTAAGCCAATCATCTGATTTGTTTCCACCCTTGCAATGCATGGGGGCGGGGGCAGGAGCAAACGAACAGCATCCGTCAGCGCACTGCTCATTTGCAGTAAGTCCTTCAGTGTTTTAGATCATGGCTTTTGTTGCATGTTAACCAAGCCAGTTTCAGTGATCTCTGTAAATCTGCACAGAATAAATGGCTAACGTAGTTATGACATCCGAACAGCTGGAAGCATTTTTAAAGCTAGCAGATGACGGAGAAATCTTTTCAGAATACTGTTTCCTTTTGAGTAAGACAACAAAACAATACATTAGCAAGGGATTTGACCATGGTTGCTATTTAGCATGTATATTTCATAGATAAAAATAATTTGAACTGACAAATCTTTTGTAACATTTGAAAGATGACAGCATATGGTCCTGAAGCAACCTTGCTAAAGTTAAGCAGGTTTCGGTCTGAGTTAATGCACGGGGAGAAGACCATCTGGGAACCTTCTGTATGCCAGCTTCAGCTCCATATGGAAGAGAGGTGCATATAAACGTAGATTTTAAAAGAAACATAATAATAATAATAATAAATAAGCAACACATATACACAAAGCACAACCAGCTGCAGAGCTAAACAGCAAACCAGTTGGATGGCACAAATGGTCTAATACTTGAAGGCCTGTTGCCACATGGTCTACACCATCTTCCACCAACTGGAAAGAGAGTAACCTAACCTTCCATACATGAGGGTGTTTGGGTGCTGCAGATGAGAAGGCCTTGCCCTGTATATTCATCATTTGTACTTCAGACTATAGTAAGAAGTAAAACAGAGCCCCACCTCTACCATCAAATAACTCAATTTTTTTCCTAACAGGTGCCATACATTCATGTGGAGGAACATAGATGTAGAAATCTCAATAAACAGTTGCTACTCTTTTCTAAGCCATGGCTTCTTTAATAAGCCATGACTTAACCACAAGTAGTCTCACATATGATCAAAGAAACCATGGTTTGCTTCTCCAAAGTTTGGTTTCTTTTCTAGCTGCACTTGCCTTTGTAGTTTAGAGAGCATCTGGGGTGAGGTGGTCAAGCAAACATGTGATGCCAAGGCAAATGAAACCACAAACTGTAAGTCAGCAGCAAAGCACAGCTTCAGGCTGTGATTTGTTGGAAGCAAACAAACCATAATCAAGCTACTTGTAAGGGTTCACACAAAACACTACGCAATGGTTTGATCAATTGGTATTTAGAGAACCATGGTTTATTGTGATGTACAAACCAGGCCCTAGTATATGGGCTCTTTTAATAACGGTTAACCTCGATAAACTTTCCTCCTTCCAATAGAGAATTACAGAAAGTAACTTCTCCAAGAGCAAGGAAAAGCCCTGGGTTAATATTCCAGTAAGTGGGATAATTCCTTTTCTTTATCTTTATTGTAACAATTCTTTATTGGCATCTTAATCCAGAGCAATTAGTTTAGAGTTCATAAAAATGTAATGCCTACAGGATGATGCAATCTGATGACTTTTCCACACTCGTGTGGTTAGAGCCAAACAAAATGCAAAACATTAATGTGTCAAATTACATCTTAGTTGCAGGAGTTAGTACTGGCACAATGGTCGAAGCACACTCCTTAAATGTCTGATAAATGTCTGACTTTTAAATTAAAAACACAAAGCAAAGCAAAGATGGTTTAAGGATAGCACTATAACAACTGAAAAGTGTATCCTAAATTATTGTGCATTTTATTTATTTATTATGCATTTTAAAATCCCAAGTTCTTTGGGAACAGAGGTATCTTGAGTCTATTGTAGTTTTGCCTACTGGCTCCTGCTCCCAAGGTTTAAACAGCAGTTTGATACACAGACATCAGAAATAAATAATGCTTATCTTATGCTATGAAAACATTCACTTCCTGATTTTTGTCATATCAACCTCGCCTTAAAGGTCAGTCCATTTTTGTTCCTCTTTTCTTCTGACTGGCTGGCAATTCTTCACTTCCCATTTGCAGATGTTACTCGCTTTCTGTTAGTTTAAAATCATGGGTGAACAGACAAAAGAGGCTTCCAGTGTAATCACATAAGAGGTTTGTACCCTCCCAATGCATTCAGTGAGCTCACATAGTACCCATTGGGCACTTCTCCATGGGCACCCACTGGCCATGCCCATTACAGCACATGCCATTAGTACCTACATAAGGCTGTAACCCTGGCCTATCAGCTGTCACGTGTTCATATAAGAATACGTTTTCAAATAGGTTAACAGGAATGCAAAGCATACCTGTTTCAAAGACTTGGCTATGACGATCTTTCCGTAATAAAAAAACATCCTGCTCTTCAGGTAAACCATTTATTTTACCCAAGCACTTGTGAGGATGCAGCAATGCAACCCACAAGAGTTCTGTGTACACTGTTGATGGTACACGCCTTTTTCAAAATTCTTCACCGGAAGGCTTAATTTTCTTCTCTTGCTATTCAGAATCCATGAAGAACGTTTCAAAATCCTGATCCAAGTCTGAAACAAGGGCATCCACAAAGTCTTCCACTGATGGACGTTTCTGAAGCATACCTGGGGGGGGGGGACACAGGTCAGTGGAAAATGGGATTTCACAAGCAAGGCAGCCCTGAAGTGGAAGGAAATTGTGCCACATCAAACCACTCCAATATAGCTGTCAAGAGCATCTGCCAAAAAACATGGAATCAGATTATATGTGAATTGATTTAGAAACACCACATGATCACCACTCCCCTAAGTATGAAAGGAACAATGTTTCTATTTGGAAATGCCTACTTATCTGGTAAATGTCCAGCAGATATGTATATCTAAACAATACACAGATATGCAGTCATACCTCATGTTACATTTGCTTTATGTTACGTTTTTTCAGGTTGCGTCCCACAGCGACCCAGAAGTACCGGAAAGGGTTACTTCCGGGTTTCGCCGCTCGCGCATGTGCAGTAACACTAAATCATGCTTCATGCATGCGCACAAGCACCAAATCGTGCCGTGCGCCTGCGCAGATACGGCGCTTCAGGTTGCGGGCTTTTCACATTGCGAACGGGCCTCCAGAATGGATCCCGTTCGCAACCAGAGGTACCACTGTATATCAGAAAGCATAACCTATGTGTGTACTTACCTCTCTGGTTTTAAACAGCCACTGATGAATTTGTGTGTGTATGTTTTCTTTCCCATAGGGAAAAAATATACAATTGAATATATGCAGTTTAACATATGGATGTGTGTTTTTCATGTCATTTTAAGTGTCAAATTAGGAAATTTCCAGTATTGTTTTGCAATGGACAAAGAAAACACTCTGTGTAAACTTGGCCCTTCTTTTAGGTAAATCACTCTCAGAAGTGCCAATGTAAATATAACCTTGCAATACCCTTTTACTGTAGGAGTACCTAGTACAATTACTTTATACTCCTGACATGCCTCCGTCTATTTGGTTTCCATTGGAATAATAATAATAGTTGCTGCATTTAGGAAAACTGAAATCTTTCACATGAGCCTTTTAATAAGTTTCTACAAGAGCCAACTGGTTTGATTAGGTATTTTTTGATGTACAGTTACAGTTCCCAAAAAAGAAACACCCAATCAGGGAAAGAAAGAGTCCAGATCTTCAGGCAATTTGAAGCGGTTACTATTAGAGTTCCTTGCTAGGATCTCAGCGCATCGTGATTTTAATTAAGCCTAAAATATGTACACTGCAAGTAAGAACAAGAATGTCCTTAAAGAAAGTTGATGAATAGTGTAGAAAAAGGAGAATTAAAATTTAGTCAGATCATATTTCATCATCAAAGGCAGTATAAGAAGCACCCTGAACATGGGCCATGCTTGCTACCTTGCCTTTTGGTAGAATAAAAAAAGTTAATACCTAGATGATTAAAAATATGGCATGCTTTAATATAGGCATTTAGTTATCTGAGGAGGAATATTAAGGGAGCCTGTATTTCCAAAACACAAATGAATTGCAATAAAAAAGATGGGGAGGGGAATGGACTCGTGAAATTTTTACAGAAGCCGGCTGCCTGCATCAGCTATATGGCAGTGATGACTCTTTGAACCCCCTTCACTTTTGGTGAGACTTTTGCGGTCTTGACAATAAATTTCCATTTGACACTGATAAAACAGTTCTGTAAGGTTTCCAAATACTAGTTCTGCCCACAGCCGTTCTCCCGCTTTCTCACAATAAGCCACTTCTCTCCTGCCCCTGAAACCACTGCTCATCGCTCCTTGTTTCTCTCTAGAAGTAAAAATCTGTAACAGAGTTTACAAACACAGCCAAAATGAGGACGTCTTGTAGTATGTGTGGGATGAATGGGAGGGAAGTTGTTTTTTTTTAAAAAAATGAATGTTATTGATAAACAGTAAAAATTTAAAAATCATACTGCGTTCCAGGTTAAACAGCTAATTGCAGGTATATACTGTAGTATGCCATATTATTCATATCAGTGATAAATTTAGCAGCATAATCATTTTACAATCTTATAACTGAACTGAATTAGTCTCTTGTCAGATATACTTAAATCAAACATTTTCTCCATCTTATCTTAATTGCAGCCTCCAGTTATCGAACTGCTGATAGCATAACATAGTTTTAACAACAGTCCCTTCGGGGAATTACATGCAATCCTCATTTTGCACAGGGGTTATGTTCTGGACTCCCACTTCTGTGGAGCACTTAATCCTGCACCACTTGCCCCTTTTCATGGCATCTTTATGACATTTGGGGGCAACTTCTGGGTTCGGCACTGTGTACATGTGCGCAATCAAGCTTCATTCAGATATGCCTAAACCAGGAGTTTCCAGGAACTTCCTGCAGCCAATCAGAAGCTGCGATTTGGTTTTCAAACATTTTGGAAGTCGAATGGACTTCCGGAACGGATTCCATTTGACTTCCAAGGTATGACTGTATTGCTAGTTCTAGTAATGCATCAAAACCAAAACCCTGTTTCTTCTTCCTCAATCCCAGTTAAGCTTCTGACCAGCTATAGCTGTCTTCTGCACTAAGAGGTCTATTTCCTATCACCCTTTCCAAAACATGAAATGGCCCAAGGCAAACACTTCCATTGTCTCAACAGAGAAACGCTGAGAGCAATGAACAGCCTGCGCTATAGTCATATTTACGAAACACTCTCTTCAGTCTTACAAACTTAGGCTAATGTTACAAATTCATGATTTACCAGACACATAAAAAAATCCACACCCTCCAAGCCAAGATTCCCACTGTTTGGAAACACAAGGATCAAATGACTGCAGTAACGACAATAGTTCCTTAGGGACTATAATGTATGTGATACATACAGAATACATAGCTCTTGAGATCTAACAAAGGCAGCTGCTGTTTTTAAACCTGTGAATTTATTTTAGGCATAGGTCTGACTGTAATTTTGACTCAGTCCCTCCCAAGCCTGGGGCAACTATGGAAGTTGCCTCCTTTGAAGTACTGCACCTTCCATATTACAGTACTAGGGTTAACCACACCCTTCTTAGCCTTCAAACACCAGCAATTGGAATATTGTAAATACCATGGCAAAATGTTGCTGTCCTGTTCCTTTCATTACTTCATAATGATTTTGGTTCCGTTAACTTGTTTCGTTAAGTTGGTGTTATAGCAACTTACAGCTAAGGTTGCAATTACCAATTACACCTGCAAATAATATTATCACATTGAAGTGAATATTCACTTAACGTCTAACATGACGTTACTCAAAATTGTATTAATTAGCTTTATCAAAATATCGAGGACCAGTTAGGGGCCAGCCCCCATATTCAGCTTCCTCTAAAAGCAGATAGCTCCATTTATTCCTCAGCAAAGAAGAGTTTGAAGAACTGGATGGCTGTATTGTGTGTGCCCTTTAGCAAATGCTATCTAAAAGAGCAGTGAAAAGGGCACAGTGGTAAAGAAGTTTACTTTGCAGGGTTTTGTTTTTTAAGTACAAGCAGTAGTCTTTGTCTAAATAAGTGTACTGGGGGGGGAAACCAGTCTGTGATAATATTTTATATTACCTTGAACCATGAGCATGGGTTCTTTTCCTCCACCATGTGCTAGCATTTCTCTACGGTAACGTTCACCCATTGCCCTGAAGGAAAAGATGGTATTGTTATTACAGCCACCTGCAATCACAAGCAGCTCAGATTCCTGTCACACCTGTCTCCGGATTCCTTGCAGATAAAGATCTAATGAAGCCTGTCGCTTCAAACTCACATGTCCATTTCAGAAACGCACACTATAAATAAAGTTACACTAGAGCAAGCTAAGCTTGAAAGATTGGAGCTGTAACCAAAGCAATCTATATATCTATATCTCATATCATTTTGTTGGTGTTGCCACTCGCAACATATACACCAAACAGTAAGCTTTCATTGTTGAATTGGAAAAGTGTGACACGTCTGTGTTATCTTTGCTTTACAGAATTGTAAGAAATTCAGAGGCTGAAATTTCACGTTTCAGTACACAATTGTATCATTCACACTAAAATAGGCAGCGGAGAAAGGACCTGGACCAGTTCCAACATTAATAGTCATGTGGTTTTGATTTTAAACACTGTGATGTTACTCACTGACAGGAAGTTCTTTAAATGACAGCAACTTATCCCCTAGAAAAATCCAGGTTGAGTTAATGGGATTAAGAAGGAATGGATGATTGGCATGTGCATCACCACATGGGAACTGCATTTCTGTAAGCAGATAGGCATCCAAGCAGGTGCACGTTTCCATGCTATGTCAAGGGTAAAGTCAGAGAATCCCAATCTGCCTCCAGAGCTTGGAAAACATGCAGGAAGAGAGGCCCCTTGAACATGCTCTTCAGACTTCCTCCAAGCTTCTCAACTCCCTACAGAATTCTCTACCTGCCTCAAACCTTCATTGATTTGAGGAATTTCCCATCCATTTGGGGATGGTTCCTCAACAAGTGTGCACTGATGAGTTCTGATGTGGCGAGTTCAGCAGTGCAAAATATGTCTTTGTGAAATGAAGAGGAACAAGCCAGTTTCTTAAGAGTCCTAAAGGTCCACGGGTTAGAATGGCAAGTTCCACACGGGACAAACTTCCTACAATATTCACAACTGACTGCAATGGAGGCATGCAGCCTTTCAGCAGATGCTGCTTTTGCGGCTGTAGTGCTGCAATGGCAGCCACCTACGAAAAGCACAGGCCTGAGAAGGAACAATGTATCATGTATGGCGGGGATGCAGGAAAATAAAAAAATTCTGGAGTAGTATTCACGAAGAATTAAAAAAGATGTTTAAGACATCATTCGAGAAAAAGCCAGAAGCATTCCTATTAGGTATAGTCTCAATGGACATCCCTAATGACAAGAAAAAGGTGTTTTTATGTGCTACAGCTACCGCCAGAATATTGATTGCTAAAAACTGGAAAGGGGACATGGTCCCCTCAATAAGGGAGTGGCAAAACAAACTCTGTGAGTATATAGAATTGGCCAAAATGTCGGCAGCTATTAAATTTCAATCCAATCAGTAACTGAGGAAAGAATGGGAATGTGTAGAAGAATATATGGCAGAACATTGTTCCAAAACAAAGATATTGATATGCACTGATGGAAGTTCATAAAGTTAAGGTTAAAATATGGAAACATGGTTATTGGGGAATATGTAAACAATATGTATAACACAATATAAAAGTAATGAAAAACAAAAGAAGCCGAGCTTGGGTGGAGGGAAGTCACAAGGATAGGAATAAGGAAAATATATAAATACACACAGATATAGATAGGTAGTATAATGTGCAATGTATTGTAAAGAATGATAAAATGTGTAACTGAATGAAATAATGTAAAAGGTAAAAAAAAGAAAAGAAAAAAGCACAGGAGGCCTGTTCGGAAAGCAATCAATCAAGAGTACTGAAAATGGTTTTATTTCACAATGGCAACTACCCAACCCTCTAGCGGAAGGCAATCCGTAGCACTCTATTGTCATTAGTGGTTCTGAATCATGGACAATGGAGGGAGGTTTATTCTCTGGTGTTCCCCCATTCCATTTTATCCCCCACCGCATCATACTCTGCAAACGTCAGAACGAGAGGCACAAAAGGGTTCTGGTGGGGAAGCAAACCTGGTGCCAGAGGTCTAAACTGACATCTACCAAGAGTGCTAGTATGGTTCCCTGGTCATCCAGAAAATGCTCCTGCTCTGCTGGGCCCTGAATGTGTGCATACACTGGCTGAGGTTCCAGTCTGCTTTTCCCGCAGTCCTTACCTACTCATAAACACAGACAGGAAGCTGGATAACCCAATGCATTTGCAATTCTTTAAAACGAACCACCCTCTCATCTCTCCACATCTGACTTCTACCGAGAATAAATCTTTGCTTTGCTGTGTTTTACTCCTGAATTTCAAAAAAAATGCTATCGTACGTAAAAGAACCGTGGTAAAGATGGAAACTGCACAGCAACACGCCTTTTGGGGGGGGCGGGGTACCTGTCGAAAGGATCCTGTACGAAACATTGTTTCCAAACCATGGACGCGACAGCCCTGGACATGAGGTAGGAATAATACTTGGCCCCATAGCCCACAAGATGGTTGAATCTGAGTTGCCAAGCCTGTATGCAAGGGGAGGAAAAGAATAAACTCTGTCATTCTTCAGAAAGTTTGTTATGAAACTAAAGCATCAGTTTAAAAAATGTTATATCACCCTTAAGTCGTGGTTTTTTTAAACAAAATGGCAACATCTCAGCTTTTCTAATCTTAAGAAACTATTATAAACAGTGCAAAAGGTACCGAAGAACAATTGGCTTGAGAACCGCAGGTGCATTTCATTATATCCATCATTGTTTCTTTTGGGGGATTAAAGAAAAACCACAGTTTACATGTTATAAGTGTCACTATGTTTTAGTTTCCATCTAGGTACATATAAGGTTGCACCTGGAAAAGGTAAGCCTGCAACAGTCTGCCAAAAACAAATCACAGCAGAGACATGTCCTGTTTTCCAGAACATCTTCCCACGTCAAAATACAGGCTCAGAGTAGTTGAGATGCACACACAACATGCCATTTTTCATTGCTTTGTTTGTATATTTAAAACAGATTACCATCATCTGTAATTCTGCTGCTATTTGTCCATAAACTGTCAGGGATTTATGATTCATGCTTTGATTTTTCCTCTAAGTACTGTTGTTAAATAGCACTGAGTGCTGTGCTATTAAAATGAGTAATATCTCTCCTGGATAAGGGGGTTGTGACTTCGCAGAGTCCAGCAAAAAGGCTCATTGGCTTGCCCAAGTTTCCACTGAATCCAAGTGGAAACAAGGAAACTGGCACCCTGAAAATTGCACACAGGCTCTGGAGCTCTTTGAATCACTTAATGAGGAACAGAGACTGGAGTCGATTTACAGAGATGACTGGTTAGAATTACTGTTGGTGTTTTCTTTTATAAAAGCCAGAAAGGTAAGCCTGCAGCAGACCACCAGAAACAAAACAAAACAAAAACCAGATTGTCTCTCAAAGCATGTTGGGTATTGACAGAATTTTAACGAGCCTGTTTTCAGCACATTTAGTAATGATTTATAATAAATCTTACTTGGCATTTATAAAGAACAAATTCATATATACATTTTAATGCACTTATTTGGTTTTATTTTAAATCCTGTTTGAAGCTAGCTGGGTTAGTATACTAGTCAATTCATTCAGAATTTATTTTTCTAAAACAGAATAGATATTTAATACATTACTCTTTAGGTGACGTGAAGCACAATCCTATGTAGATTTAACTGGAAGCAAGTCTGATTCTATGCAGTGAAGCTTACTCCTAGGTAAGTATGCACAGGATTGTACATGCTAACAAGCTAGAACTCAAACAGTGTCTCTCAAATAATTAATGGGAAAATGCATCTCTTTTCTTCCTACCAAGCAAAATTCATGCTCTGCCACAAAGGGACTAGATTATTCCTATAATTGTTTGCAGGTTATATGCTACACTAGAAGAAAAACATGTAATGAAAATGGGCCTGTAGCTTTTAAATTAAGTTACCAAACTTCAAGCTGTATCCTAATTCCCTCTAAACTAGATCTGAAAAGGAGTTAACCTTCAAGTCCGATTATTCTACATACAGTGAAGAAGTATTTTGGCAACAACATTTGAACTTAACACCCCCCCCCAAAGAAACCACTCCTTTAGCTATAATCCACCATACAAAACACATTTAAAACATATTGGAAATATAGGCTGAATTAATAAAACATGTTGGTTTTCATTATAGTCTATTATAAGTCTTTCATCTGAGGATTTGAAGTTTCAGCTTGAAAGGTTTCAATAGAACCATTCTTTACATGCCCAGGATCTGAATTATTTCCAAACAGACCTTCTTACCAAAGTGTGAAAGAATATAGATGTTTTCCCTAGTATTTCAGATTTCTCTCTCCCTCTCTGTGCCTCTAAAAGAGGATTTTTCTGATCTTCTGGTGCAGTGGTTTTCAGCTACTTACTTTGCAGGAACCCCTTTCAATATTGGCTTGCCTGTGATGAGCCTCAGCATATCTGCACTCAAACAAGCATTGCAGAAGATTCTTGGGGAGGTGTATGCATGCTCAGTTAACATAGGGCATTGGTTGAGTCGTGTTATCACTCTGGATACACATTTTTTAAAGCTGGGCCCTTCTTATAAATTGACATTGATTTATGGGGAAACACCCTCCCATCCCTAATGTGGTGCTTCTCACTTAATGTGAGAGACTGTAGAGTAATTGTTATTAAAAGGCATTGAAAGGGGGTAGGAGTGCCACCTCCTTCTCATCTGTGTTAGCCTCCTTTTTCTTGACTAACAATAGGACCACAGGTTTGCTGCTATATGCATTGACTGGAAAGACAGGAACAGAAGAAGAAGAAGAAGAAGAAGAAGAAGAAGAAGAAGAAGAAGAAGAAGAAGAAGAAGAAGAAGGGAGTACCTATCTATTGCATTCCATTAGCAGTGGATCACTTCTGAAGTCCTGGCATTTGTGACTTCATCCAACTGAATCCAGACAAACGCATTCCCATGAGGGATCTTGATTGCAACCAAGCCCTCAGAATGATTTAAAGGGAAGAGCTTTTGGCTTGATCCTTTGATTAATGTGAGACAACACCTGTTTCACTAGTGTGAAATATGAATGTGTTGCAAGCTGAGTTAGTTTGGTGCACTGTCAACAGTCAGAGTCTCCAGATGCACCACAGTGATATCGCACAAAACTGTTGTATTGCGTGAAACTAGGTGTAGACATGGACACGGACAGGATGGGGATCTTGCATGTCACAGCATCCTAAAGGCATTTTTTACCATCACAGAACTTTTTCATGCATGTACTTTTTTATTATAACCATTCATTTAGAGGTTGCAGATTAATGGGTTGTGCTGCAGGATTCACTTCCCTCACTACACAGCTGCAGTATATGATGCTAATGTCACCATGATTAGGCAGTCAAGAGCAAGCTGTTGAATCACATACTTGCTCCCACCTAGCTTAGCACTGAAAAGTCTATAGAGCTGAAGGAGGAAGTGTGAAAGAGTGGTGTTCTTCCCATTTCATAGTTTAACTCTCATTTCAATTGCGGCTTATAATCCACATTTCTGTCACTGCACAATATGATCTTTTCAACTATAAAAATAACCCTCATGTTTCAAATTCCATTTGGCAACTCACCCAGCCTGCAGCTACATGCACAAATAAGTAAAACCTACACCTTACTGAAGGTCATGTTTCTAACTTGCAAGCAAGCTGATGAAGTCTTCAACTACATCAACTGCTCCAGTTAAATATGTAATAAGTCTTGAAAAAGCTGCAGGAAAACATTCCAAGAGTTTATTAAATCGTGATGTGCTCTATAGCATAGCCCAGAGGTTGTGATAACATGCCATTTGCAGGTCATGTTCCTTCCTGTTTTTTTTCATATAGTATAACAGACAGAAATAAAGGTGCATGACTGAGCTACAAAAATTAATACTTAAAGATGCCTGCTTCCCATCAACATACCATCAATCCACCAATGATTATCTTGTCTGAACATTTTCCAAAACCCCCATACATGATTTTTATTAGAAAGGATGAAAAGCTAACTGCTCTCTTGTGGCCAAGAGTCTTAAATAAAACACACATTTGTTATATTCTAGGACTATAAAACATAATTATAAGTGCATTAATACAATACCCTATGTTCAATTTAGCACACAAAAAAGCTTTGATGCAAATTGCAGCCATATGCTATCTAAAGGGGTCAGTTAAACTTTAAAGCTGTAAGCAGTCTGAGTTAGTCAAATATTGATGGAATTATGGGGCAAAATGTTGGAGATCACTACATCAAATTATGACCTAACATTTGCAAAAGCAGAGAGATTTTAAAGCTGAAGATAACATGGTAGAACTTAATACAGACCTACTTAGGGCTGTGCTGAAAGTACTAATTAATTGCTTTGCATGAATCTTTTCAACTGTCAGTAAATGATGTTTGGTAATTTTCTGATTCCTTCAAGTGTTTGCCTATCCAGGAAGCACTGCTCTCACTCAATTGGCTTGAGAATTTAGGGGAGGAGAGAGTTGCCTGCTGTGATTTTAGAACTCCAAAGCCAATTATTTAAAAATAAACTTTTTTTTAGCCAAACATGTTTGTGAAAGAGTTTGCTACCCTTCAACTTATAGAGAATTAGTCTAGAATGAAAATAATCTGTTTATTTCAGGTGATCCAGAATGCTTTTATATGGAAGCAAATCTTTATTCACATCAGTAGACTGTTTATTAATATGGATGGAATGGGGATTAACTATTTAAGCTGGCAGGCAAATCAGAAGTAACAAGACTGTAAATCAGAAGCTATAATTTCTCCTAACGTGACATCTCCCTATTGATCTTCATTCATAATGAAAACTTCGACAATATCCTTAAAGGGTGTCCTGGGTAATTAGAAAAAAGTACTGTACCACATAAAGTATGGTTTAAAGAGAAAGGCTTTGCAATCGAGTGTATAGCCTCCTTCAGGATAATTAATTGTGTGTCAAAATGTTTTGATGCATGAAAATGTTTTGGGGCTAGTTTACTGTTTTCATTAAGGAACAGGTAACATGACAGCAAATGTAAGGACAAGCATACCAGCATGTGCCAGCAACATAATACTGTTGTGAATCTTATAGAATACTGTGGATGATATTCAATCAAGTTTTACTCAGAGTAGACCTTTTGAAGTTGATGGACATTAGCCACATCCATTAATTTCCATGGGTCTCTTCTGAATAAAACATAGTTCAATACCTCCCTGTGTTTTGCAATGCAGTGCCTGCAAAGGGATGGTCTGTTTCACTACGTCTTGGGCTGTAAAGAGAATAGCGTTTCATTAAAGGTAACCTGGCCCTGTATGTGATGTACGGAAAAGGCATTCTAGCATAACAACTTGAGATGAATGCTTCAAACTCAATGAAATTCATGAATGCTACGCTTCAGAAAGCAGGAATGAACAAGATGAATCAGACCAGAGATACATGCCTTAGGCAAATGCTGTAAAAGCAAGTTAAGTTACAAGTAAATAAATGATAAAAGCCACGGTTGCTGGCAAGGACCGCTTTCCCAAGCCAAAAGATGGCAATCTGGTAGAAGGTGAAGCAAAACCTATCCACTAAACTACCTACCCACCCAGAGTGAAAATGTCCTTGAGTCTCCTAGAATCCCACCCTGTACAACATTCCAATAAACTAGACAACAACAAAACTGCTTCCTGGTCTCTGTTCGGGGGGAGGGGGGGACGACTTAAGGTTGCCTCTGATGCTATCACTCTCTTTGTGTGAATGTATGGGCAAACAGCATTATTAAGTTATTGCAACATTTTATAATCCCCTGTGGGTCATCCTGTTCTGTATGTTTATGAAGTGGTAAAGATTTTGTGATTAGGTTGCTCATTCTCCCTGAGAGTCTTCTTGGTAACTCAAAGAAGCTTACATGTTTAATGAGGTATCTTCTCTTAGCTATTTTATAACCCAAAGATGGCGATAAGCGCAGAATATCTTAAATATGGGAATTCTGCCTCTTCAGTAAATGTCCTGTTTTCCTGTAGGGAAAGCAATCTACTCACTGGGATTGTTTCTAGCCATGGTGGCCATATGGTACAAGAGTAGGGGAGGGCTGCTGCCTTCATGCCCTGGTTCACAAAAGCATGGGGGTGGCCATTGCAGGAGAAAGGATGCTGGACTAGACAGGCCTTTGTTCTGTTCCAGCAAGGCCCTCCTAACATTTTTATGCCCTCTTGGTCATAGACAGTGGATTTAAGCCTCCATTTAAGTCTTCTGGGAGAATGGGTCATCAGCAACCGCCTCAAATACATATAAGTATTAGTTTCCATTTTCTGCTAACTTGCAAAATTGCCTTTTAACAGTGCAAACCTATGCATAGCCAGTGTAGAGTAACAGTTATAGAGTGTTGGACTATGACCTGGGGGGACTAGGGTTCAAATCCTCCCCTCAGCCATGAAGCTCATGGGGGTGACCTTGGGCCAGTCACTGCTTCTCAGCCTAACCTGGCAGCCCTGTTCAGGGAAGTTTTTAATATGTAACGCTGTACTGTTTTTAACACTTGATTGGGAGCCGCCCAGAGTGGCTGGGGAAACTCAGCCAGATGGGCGGGGTATAAATAATAAATTATTATTATTATTATTATTATTATTATTATTATTAACCTGCCCCACAGGATTGATGTGGGGATTAAATGGGGATGAATGGACCAAGAATGCCACCTTGAACTTCTTAGTGAAAAGGTGAGATATAAATGCAATGAATTATTACATAAATAATTTAAGTCCAACTCTAATGTGAACATATGTGAACTGTGCACACACAGGTAAGTGTGTACAGTTGCAGCTTAAAATAATACAGGAAGGGGGTATTCTAAAATCAGGAATAGGAAAGTAAAAAACAACAACAACAAAAGCACCCTGAGATTTTGAAAAGTGAGTCAAACGAGAGATTAAAGTTTCAATTTATAACACTTCTGTGTTTTTATTACCAACTCATAAATAAACCCAGCAAGACAAGGGATATAAATATTTTTGTAGTAGTTTATATTGGAGAAGAGGAAAGGAATTTCACATTCAATTAACCACTTAGGTGTTTCTGGAAAGATACCATATGGTCCTTGAATTATTAATTATAGCTTTTTAATGGATTATTGCATGTCACGGCTGAAAGAGCAGTGGCTCTTGGGAACTGGAGTCTTCCCAAGGCATATCACATGGCCATAGTGCCCAGGAAGAGTGGCATATTGGGACAATGCGGAGGGTCCTTCCTTCCTTCGCAAGCCCTTTTGCAGTTGCTGCGGCTACAAGTAAGTAAAGGAAGGAGAGGAGAGGTCACTTTGGTAGCTAGCATGGAGAGACTAGGAACTCTTCTGTGACCCAGATATTGATCCAGGTTAGCAAAGGGTGTTGCAGGGAGTAGTCCAGGGATTTCTAAAAGTCAACATCTCCTTTAAGGCACGCTTTTAAGTATCCTAGAAACTCATTTCCAAGCCAGGCTCTGGCAAAATCTAATCACATCCCTGGTCCTATATATGCTCACTGCTACATGCGGGTCAATGAGGTCTGCAGGCTTCAGAAAAAAGCTCCCAAATTGTATAGAATGCATATGACTTGTGTCCAAACTCCCCATACATTATGGGGGAAAGCCATTCAGTCACACAGAAGGTAGGGGAGGGGGACCCCAATTTTTTCCACAGGCTGCAGACTTTGTGCCACACCACACAGGCTCCCAGGGAATTCCAGCAACCCTGAGCGACTCTTGAGGGTAGGAGGATGCAGTCTGAAGGGGGAAGCCAGTAACCCCTCAATGTGTAAGCAAAATGCCACGTTATTACCAAAAGGTAAAGTAAAGGTAAAGGACCCCTGGGTGATTAAGTCCAGTCAAAGTCCAGTCACACTATGGGGTGTGGCGCTCATCTCGCTTTTCAGGCCAAGGGAGCCAGCGTTTCGCCACAGCCAGTTTTCAGGGTCATGTGGCCAGCATGACTAAACCACTTCTGGCACAACCCTATTACTAAAAAAGCACTAATGCATCAGTCATAAAGGGCTGAATTTCCTTAAAAGCTTCAAGTGGTTTACAATTTGACAACTTCCAAACATTCTGCTTCAAGAACTGTGAATAGCTGGGGGGAAATGTTTCCTGAAAACTGTTGGCCTCACTTCAAAGGAAGATCGTTGGCCTAAGCTCTACTAAATTAATAGCTCCAGTTAGTCACAACTAACTTTCCCCATTGATTTCAATGGGACCTAAGTGGGGTTCAGTTTTCCTGTGATCATTATCTGTAGCTTTTCTGTTCAAATGAACAAATGAAAGGGCTTCTCTTAAAAAAAAAAAAAAAAAGCAATCCAAGATTCATGAGCTGGTTTTCAAAGTACTAACTTTGTTATGGTTTTGAAATGAATGCTGAGTTTATGAAACCACCTTTATAAAACAATAACCAGAGACTATTTACAGAAAAATCCACAAAGGGTTTGTTACACATTCATTTAATTTTCCTCTTCCTACACGCAGTCTCGTAAAACCTGGTTTTACAGTGTACTTTAAGATGACCCAGTTGAAAGTTAATCCAAGGGTATACAATTTGTATAAACAAATGGGTTTTCCACTTTGGCTGAAGCAGCAAGTTACAAGCATTCCAAAACTAAAGGATGTTTTCACAAGCGTCTCTAAAATCTGAATTTTTGAATTTTCTGGGTTTGCAAATTGAATGAAAGAGCCACACTGACCACAACATATATTTCACTTAAAAACGACCCACTTCTGCTTTCTGTACAACATTATAAAAACACTCAGAAGTTCTTCAATGCATATTTAAACTGTTTGTAACCTCACTTGTGTAAAATGCACGCAGGCTAATGATTACATTATACCCTTTAGGAAATTGAAAAAGAAGTAACAGCCAAACATTTTGAAGTAGTCTCAATATTTTTTCTATGCTTTGCAATAAGCCTAAACTATGCCTGGGGTCCAGACAGCTACCTTAGGTGCATCCAAGTCACTGGTCTTATTCAAGGATGTTTTTACTTGCCCCTCCTATTTTGAATGTTAGACTCCTCACCTCAAGCTATATTATTACTAGTAGCATTTATTTCACTTGCGAATTGCTTCCCATGAATCATCCCAAAGCAATTTACAATATAATAACAGATATAAAACAGTTCCACAGATAAAAAACTTTTAAAAATGATAACATAAAATCATTTGGGTGGTAGTCAATTAATTTTTACTCAGAAATTAATGAACATGACTAAGTCCATTAACCTTCGTTTTCTTTTAAAATATCAATCCGCATGAAATATGGTACTCACAGTATTAGGAACGTATGGCAATCCATAGAATTTCTCTTGAGTTTCCTTCAAAATCTCTGTGGTTGACTTCTCTAGAGGATGCTTCCCATGGTATATTTGGTCCAAGACAGCATAAAAGATCTAGATAGATAATATATATACTGAGCTATGGCTCACTCTTGCTATTCAGCATGTGGTTAAAAAATTCAGACATGCAGCAGAATAAAAGAGATTAAAATACATGCATTCCCTTGCTTTTCTTCATAAGAGTAATATAGAATAACGTTCAGAATAATACTAATTTCATTATTATTTGTACCTTGCCCACCTGATTGAGTTGCCCCAGCCATCTGGGCGGCTTCCAAATATATAGGTAAAAGGTAAAGGACCTCTGGAGGGTTAAGTCCAGTCAAGGGCAACTATGGGGTCGCGGCACTCATCTCACTTTCATGCCGAAGGAGCTGGCGTTTGTCCACAGACAGTTTTCCAGGTCATGTGATCAGCATGGCTAAACTGCTACAGGCGCATGGAGGACCGTGGTGAGTGCCAGAGCGCACAGAAATGCCATTTACCTTCCCGCTGCAGCAGTACCTATTTATCTGCTGGAACTGGCGTGCTTTTGAACTGCTAGGTTGGCAGGAGCTGGGACAGAGCAATGGGAGCTCACCCTGCTGCGGGGATTCGAACCACCGACCTTCCAATCAGCAAGCCCAAGAGGCTCAGTGGTGCCACCCACATCACACACACACACACACACACACACAAACATAATTCTGTTCACATGTTCAATACTGGGGAACAGCATATGTTTTGTATGGAGAAGACTCTAGCTACAGTCCCTGGCATCTCCGAAAGACCTGTGTCTGTAAACTTGGACAGCTACTGCCAATCAGCATAGATAATACTGAGCTAGATGGTGATCTATTCTCAAGTGTTGTGTATGCACAAAAATCCTGCTTTTTCAAAAGGAAGCCGCCAAACAACCATAGGACTTCAGCCTGATCCTTAAAAGATACCATACTGTCGCATCAGGTAGGTATGCACATGTGTCTTATCGACTCTTGTATTACAAAAGCATCCTCCACACAGCCCTCAGGATCTTTATTTCTGCATAGCTGTTATAAAAGGACACCTGAGCAAATCCAAGGCTTCCACTTCTTGCGTCAGTACTAATTTCTAGCTAAATACCTGGAGTTAATAGGAACAAGTCAGGGAGACAGGAAAGCAGAGGAGAAATCAAGCACTATGCTGGATCCACCAGCATATTTTTGCAGTGTTATTTGAACAGCAGCTAATATATTGAAGGCAGGCTGGGACATATGGTTGGTTTCTAGCCAAATTTTGATTGAGGCCATCACTGATGTGCTATTTATAAAGAAACATTGAAGACGGAGGGGAGGGTGTTACTCCATTTTTTGCTTTTGACATCTTAATAACTGGTCTTATCAATCAAAGCCTAGAGCAAAGTTATAAAGAATCAAATTATAATTAATTTGAGTCATGAATGGTTGCTGTACATTAAAAATATACTGTCTTTTTTTTTTTTAACAGGGAGGCAGTCTTTGTGGGAGTGGCAAGATGTGGATGCCAAACCATGAGAAGAACATCTTCAAGAAAAACCAAACCCCAGTATTGTACCACATAAATTCCCATGGAAAACTATAGTGGTGGGGAGAATTCCTTTCCAGGTCCTTTTCAAACGAGTCTTAGAACATAAAGACAGGGTTCTGGTGTCCTCCCAGTACTGCCACAATCTCTCATCCCACAAAAGAGCTCGCACTAGAAATTTGGATGGAAAGTAACATTTTGTAAGACAGTGTATCTAAAATGAAATGAGAGGATTGATTCACCAGAGTTACCGACTTTTAGGTTTCATGTGCTTCTCTTTCCCAATTAAGGCAACATGGCTGAAAAATGCTTAATACAGATTGAATTGCACCAAGATATTTCTTGGCACAAAGAACCACTGATTTATCAGTCCTGTGCTCTGTGGAACTTGGCACAGAACATTATAACATGACCTTGCCACTCACTTATCTCTCATCTGGTGAGAGGCCTGTAAAAACTCAATTACTATGAAGCTCTACAACTTTTATAGATATGCCAGTACTTGTGCCTGGAGGCTCCCTTATTCTGCTTTTTGGCGGGGCAAAAATTAAATTACTTCAGATTGCAGGAGGGTTATTCTATTTTGGACCACCTCATCTGTTTGTTTTTCTAAAGATCCTTGCACCTAAAAATATAACCCATGAGGGAGAGAGCTGGACTGTGTGAAATAAGGGTTTAAATGCAACTACCCATGTGAAACAGTACAGTTCAGAAAAGACTCTTGCGATATGTGAAAGGAGAACAAAAAGCCTCTACCCTAGATTTGGAATTCCAAATATTCCCAGTCAAACTGTGGGTTTGGAGAGAACTGAAGGGGAAAGAGCTAAGAATTTAAAGTTATAATTATCTAAGCCTTGATATCCTGTAGAGGCTTGGAGGAGACAGACATTTAACCACAATTATGTTTCAGACTGTCCTTGTTCTTTGTGGGATGAGGTGGATGACCTATGCATAACTCTTAGTCACCCTGCAATTTCCAAAGCAAGCTTGGTGTTGGAGAAATTGCTATGACTGCCAAGGGAGAGAAAAGTGACTGCTATTACAGCTCTTGATGTCATGACAGAAGGGCTCAGCATGTTCCAGGATGGTATATTTTTTAAGCAGAAAACCTGAGAAAAGACAGGACGGGTTTCTCCATCACTGGGACCTTATGATCAACTCAGAGATCCCCCTACCGATCTCAGTTCAGATAGCATACTGCAAGGGCACAAGAAAAGCACTCTATGTACTTGCTCTCCACTTGTTTCATTCATTCATTCATTCATTCATTCATTCATTCATTCATATATATTCTTCAAGCTCTGTATCTCATGTTAAGGGAAATAAATGAAAAGGGGGATACCAGGTGATTTTCTTACCCAATAAGCTAGTTCTAATTATTTCGTTCGCTGATTAATATCCCTAAAAAGAGCTCTTTTAATAATTTGAGAGCAAACCAAATGCATTTTCATTAAAATAAACACAACTGAAAACCTTATTCAGTATTTTCTTAGAGATGAACTTCCTTGGGGAAGATTTTTTATGATTAAGCCAATATGTTATGTGCGTAAATTACCTAAAATAGAATCAGTTCTCATTTAGAATGTTCAAATGCATTTCCTCTTTAGAATAAATTAGATTTGGGTTCATAAATAAATAAATAAATACATAAATAAATAAATAAATACATTTACATACTAGATTAGCTCGTGATTTCCCCTGAAATGCATTTATTTGTTATAGATTTGTTCTGGCTTATGCATTTATCAGAGTCTTTAGAAATAAGCATGTAAACATTTCTAACGGATTATGTTGCTTCTGTTAGAATGATTAGTTTTTGGAAAAGCACATGGCAACTTATGAACCATTCAAGTCCACTGCCAGAATGAAAACTTGGCTTGCATGCTCTTGTTCTGCATATTTATATTTTAGGCTGACAGTTTCCAGTGCCTTTTATTTAATGGATCCACAAAATAAAGCTGCAACATATATATATCAAAATTAACCAAGAAAAAGAAGAAACAAAAAACAAAGTAAAACACAATTTGGCTTTGATAAGGCCTCACATTATTTGGCCTCATCCTCCAATCCAGAGGTCACAAGCAAGACATTTAGATTCAGGAACCCACTATAATCTATCATAAGGAAGCAGGAACAATCATTCTATCTGTGCACCAAATTTAGAGATCAAAGGCACATCATGGGGCTAGTGCAGATGTAATGCTGGTTCTTTGTTACCCATGACCAAGAAAACTAGGAGGCAGCTATCCTCCCATCTTCTCTTCATTCCCACTCTGCCTTAACTAGAGTTCAGATAAATATTGGCACTGACCTTCAACCAGTTCACACTAACCAAGTTTGCCTTTAAACTAGGATCTGAACCCCAGTTTAAACTGCAGTTTCAGATCCTGATTAAAAGGAAACCTAGTTCAGCACTAGCACTAGTCAACATCAGAGGCAAGTTAAGGCAGCGGGGAATTCACGCTAGTGTTTGGAAGATGTGCTTCTGAAGCTGTCTGTCTCTTTTTTAATTGAAGTCAAGAAGAAACCAGTGTTAAAATTCACATCATTCCATAGAAGTAGGTTTTCACTGGCTGCTGCACAATGTAGAAATCTCTTTCCCTACAGAGTTCCCTGAACTTTTTCTAACAGCATTGCAGACTTAAAAAAACTTAGACTGACTTTTGACTGTCAAGTTTTAGCTTTAAGAAAAGTTTATTTGGATATGTATTACTTTCAAACTGCAACTCATTCTACACTTAAGTGTCGGTGACATTAAAATCCCATGAAGTTTTAAAGTAATTCATTTTAAGTATTCAACAGTTGTACAAATGTGCCAAAGAATCTGCATCACTGAGTCATAACTTTAAAATGATGCTGTGCTAATCTTAAGATCTTTCACAACTTCATAGTAAGGTTAAAATCACATGGAACCAAACAACATACCTGAAGCTGCATGTCGGCAGCAGCACAAACCTTCTTAGATTCGCAGAGTCTTGACACCATATGTTTGGGCAATGGCTTGAAAAATAATAAAAAAAAAGATGGGGAGATGGAAATCTTTTAAACAATTTTTAAATAGATTCAATGAACAGACAAAGTAACAGTCACGTGCAAGTAAAATGTGTATTTAATTGTATGCTGGAAAAGAACATGGCTCGGGGCTCTCTGTTGCTTCTACCACCTATTTCGCATCTTGATTGTTTAATGAAAGGACACTTGGCTTGGCTTTCCTTGCTAGCTTCTAGTCTGGAGAAGGTAAATGGTTGTGCAAGTAAAAACATAGCCAGGTGCTTGCTTAGGACCTGGAGAAGAAGTAGCAATAGTTGGATCAGCATGTCACACAAAATATCTTCTTCCAGCGGAGGAGAAGAAAAGTTAAGGTTTTCCTTTTCTCACAGAAGAGAATAAAACCAGCAGAAAAAGCAGGTAAGAAGAAATGGAAGAAATGGAATCTCTGCTCCAGATTTTTTGGGGGGGGTGAAGAGGTAGGAAAAACACAAAGGAGAAAGGAAAGGAAAAATTCAAAGGGGAAACTTGAGATCAAAGGCAGATGGGGGAAAAGAGAGAATCCCTGTCTGCTTTGGGCAAAGGCAGGGGCAGAACTGAAAGAGAAGCTACAGGAAATCGATCACATCACATGTTCCTTACTTGGGCAAACCATAAGACACAACCCATCATGTGGATGTATTGCATGCCAGCCAGAGAAACTCTAGCTCTCTTCTTGTTTCAAATCCATACCACATTAAGAGACACAGACAGGTAAACTATTCCAGGCAAACACTCCGTTTTATGATAGGAGAAAGTATCTATTGTTAGCTATGAGGAGAAAGGTAAGAAGAACGATGCTTCATTTGATATAGCTTCTCACATTAAAAAAATGGAGCGAGAATGAAATAAATTAGAAGTTTGAAGTATATGCTACTAACAACACTGTATATCTTTTTGTCCAGTTTCCCCCTCTCCTCTATAATATAGCCTATCTCCTGGGATCATCCTGATACGTGTTTACCTGGCCCTAACAACATGAAGGAACAGATTAAGTTTTTCTATACAATATAGAGTGAAGTGCGAAGACTTAACACGGAATGCTTCTTACTAATTTATACTTGTGCCCTGAATGTCAGTGTGACCAAAGCCTTCAAATTGTTAAAGAGCCTCTTTAGCTTCAAAAATGGAATACAGATGTCTGACATTTACAAACAGCTCTTCAGTCATGCCTGAAGCTTTACAGTTGAAGTGTTTAAGAATTGTTCTATCAAAGAATTGTTGCTATTACAAAATAGCAACATGTTCAGGTTCTGTACTAATTATGACATCTAGAAAAACTACTCATGTAAGTAGAACAAAAGCAGCTGCATCAAAGTTATTGAGAACAAATAAAAACATTATCAGCAAATTAGATGGAAGAGAAAATGGGCAAGAAATGCTCCTAAACTGAAATGCTTCCCATAGTAGTTAACCACACAAGATCTATAATTTTCCCATCCAGAAAATAGCAGTATAGTTTTGAAAACTTAAGACTATCCAGTGTGCAAAGCTGTAATTTAAATTGCACCATTTAAACAGCAGACAATTATTCCACACTGTAGTACAACTGCTATTCTGGGACTTAGCCCCCAGACATGGACCCCTTGATTAGAATGATTTCTAAATGAGAAAAAAGCAGATCTCTTTCCCCACTCCCTCCCACCCAAAAAACCCCCTGTAAAGAATACAAACATAAACATATAACAGAGACGTAAATGTTAGACCACACACAGGCCTAATCAGCACCATTGCAGATAAAAGCAAGACAGGTGGACCCAAGGCTTTCCTCTTCTTAATAATGAAAGAAATGTTAAACTGAAAATATAACTTAACTCTCTGAAGCTGGTAATTGCTACTTTGCCAGTTAATCCTTTACTCCTCTGAGCTCCAAAGCTGTATCCCAGGTGGCATCTAATGCTTAAAGGTGGGGAGGGGGGGAGATAAGAGGCTCAAAGAACACTGCATCAGCTCATCCTAGGATTCCCCCTAGACCACATCTGCATAACACAAGATGAGCAGAAGCTGTGGATGAGTGGTTCTGCCTATTCTGGAAGGCAGGAAAATTTAATGTGATAGTGAGAGGGGCAAGTGATAGTCCAGAAAGCCCACCTTTAGGCTGAGCGAAGCAGCCACCTCTGGAGGCCTAAGCTGAGGGTGTGTGGGGACTGCTGCCATTGCCTGCCTCCCAGGCAATTTCTTCTACTTCCCTCTACTGGGGAAAAACTGTAGGTGGGATTCATCTAAGAAGCCCCATCAGCGGAAGTCCTGAGCAAGGACTTCCACTTGCACAACAAGGTTTCCCCCTCTCCCCCTGAAATTGGCTCACGGGGGGTGGGAGAACCCCCAGAACATGAGGGGAGCCGAGGGCAGAGTGTTCCATCCAGCAAACGGAAATGCTTGCAGAGACTGAATGTTCCCAAGAGTGCAATGCTGAATCCCACCCTTTGTGTGCCACACTAAGAAAAGCTTACAAAAGGAACCATTTAATTAAATGAATAAATCTGCTGGCCACTGCTGGAAACCAAGTGTTAGCTTGTTGGGTCTATAGTCTGACTCGGCAAGGCTCTTCTTATGTTCTAAACCAGGGATGATGAACCTGTGACCTGTTGTAAATAAAAATATGCCCTTTTCCCTTATGGGGTATCCAAGAGCCCATATAGAGTCCTTACATAGGTTCCCTATTGGTAGGAGAAAATAACAGAGGCCAACCAGAGAATATTGAGAAGCAATGCAGCTAGTAAGCTTGATCTTTATTGATCTGTTGCAACAGGGTGCTCCCCTCACATGCAGGAAAGGAGGAGGACCCACAAAAATGCTGTGCAAGGGCTTATAAAGACTTTTGAAATTCCCATCCTGTAGATCAAGACCACCCCCCAGAAACATCATACATACATCACAGGAGGGGTGTAACCTAAGACCACCCCTCAGATACATCACAGAAAAGGTGGTCTTAAAACAGAAATTTCAATATTGTTTTTCTCTTGTCCTTGTTTATTTCCTGTCTGGCCGGTTACTTGATTGGATTGCCTGAGGAGCCTGGCCAGTCTTTTGTAATGATAAGGCTCACACCCTTATTCAAACACAGACATACTCTTAAGACAGGATTTGTGAAGGAAGACACAATGGGGAGGCTTTTCCATTTTGACCTTGCAGAGAAAACATTTGGCCAGTTTAGGAATCAAAATGGTTCCAGGTTGGTCTTCCTGTGCTGATCTATGTATGTGCGGTTATGAACATTACCATATAACTAAGACCATAAAATTCCTATCACAGACCCTACCCAGATGTTAGTGGACTACAACTTGCATCAGTCCCAGGCATCATGGCTACTGGACAAGGATGCTGGGAGTTGTAATACTGTGACCTCTATAAGGATACAGGTTCCCCATTCCTGAACAAAACTTCCTTCTTCCCAGTCATGACCCATCACGGTCACTAAACACCTGAGAAAGAGTCCCCATTTACACATTCAATATACTCATAGTTGTTGGGTTTTTTTAAAAAAAAAGAAGTCTACGGTACAAAATATAAACATTTAAAAACTTGGCAGGAGGGAATGGTTTTATTTTATAGGGCTCTAATTTTTAACACAGTTACAGCCAAATTGGCTCTTCTAGTATAACTTTACTTTTTTTGCAGTTTTATACTTTGGCTGTTTCAAATCACATCAAACAGAAACTGAGCCTCAGAGCTGTCAAGTGGTATCCTGTTTTAAACAGAACAAAATAGCAGAACCCTGCTAATTGGTATTTTGGTAAACCACAATCCCACAAATCCTCGCTGAAATGGAAATCCAGGTTTGCAGCTCAGTGAAGCATAGAGCAGGAAGCCCTTTGTTGTCAGGGAATGAGAAAAACCACTAACCATGCACCTCTCTGGGATAGTAGAGGGGTGAAAGCATCCCTCCTGACGCAGTTAAAGCACCACTGCAGGTAACAGAACAAGGCAGCACTACACATATTTCCCCTCTGCAGCAGGGGTGGGGAGTCCCAGGCCCAGGCTCAAATGTAGGCTTCTTCAACCAGCCCTCAAGACTCTACTTGAGGCATACCTCTTTCTTAGGCCTCAGCCCTCACTAGGCTTGCTCTACACTCTTGTAGACTGTTCCTGCCTGCCTGGAATGTGTCTTCAAACTTTTCCTTGCATGGATGGAGGTGTGTGTGTGTGTGTGTGTGTGTGTGTGTGTGTGTGTGGAAACCTCTGCTTTCGGCATGACCAGAATATACAAAGGTAAGAGTCAAATTCATAGCTGGCAAATTACAAATTAATATGTCCCTGGGGCCAGATAACTTTCACCTAACTGTCCTTAAATCATTGAAATGTGAACTTGCTGAACTTCTGTTTGTTTGTTTTTTACAAAATGCAACTTATTAAAATTAGCCATCTTGCCAAATGATTGGAGGGCAACCAACTGGACACTATTTTATTTTTAAAAAAAGATAGTATCTGGAACCTATGGCCTGCTAGCCCAGAGGTAGTCAATGTGGTGCACTCCTGGTGTTGCTGAACTACAACTCCCATTATCCCTGACCACTGACCATGCTGGCTGAGGCCAATGGGAGCTGCAGTCCAGTGCACCACAAAGGCTAGCCCAGGGTAGCCATTCTTCTGCCTCAGGTAAATGGATTATTAAAGCTAGCATTATTAAACCCTTGCTGAGAATTAATCCACATGGTTTCTGCAAAGGGTACTCCTGCCTCAGCAACCTTTTATAATTCTTTAAAAATGTCAACCTGTGACAACATATCACTATTTCTAACCGACAGGTCAGATGGCAAATGCCAACATGACTGTAGCCAAAACAGGGCTACTGAAGAACAAAGGGAGTTATCAGCATGCTCAGGGGAACCTTGAGATAAGCATAAGTACAAAAGTTCTTTTTCAAAACAACAAAAAACCTAAAGGCGCTATCTCTTCCCAAACATCCCAGTGGAGACTAACCTTACTTTATAGCCACAGTCTCTTGAGAATTGGCTGGAAAATGAAAGGGGAGGGGAGGAATGGGAACGGCCAATGAAGGGGGGACATGGCCACAGAAGTCATGGGACTTCAAAACACTGCCAGTCGCTGGTGGGTAGGAGAAGGCTATTTGATAGAGACTACAAAGAGTGCAGAGGGGATAAAGAGAGGAGAGGAAGATGAGTGGCTATTTCTATGTCTTTTCATGAGACTCAGTTAGGAATTGTGTGTGTGTGTGTGTGTGTGTGAGAGAGAGAGAGAGAGAGAGAGAGAGAGAGAGAAACAAACAAACAAACAAACAAACAAACAGAGCTGGATGGAGATGTGAGGTCATGATGATTTTTAGGTCATCAGCACCTAACATAATCAATCAGTCAATCTCTTTCTCTCTGGCTTACACCCACCCACCCACACCCCTGCCTATCCATCCCATTCCCTCTTCATTTTCTCTTCCTTTCTCACAAAGAAAGTAACTGAGAAAACATATTTTAATGATATTAGTTGTTGTTGTTTAGTCATTTAGTCGTGTCCGGCTCTTCGTGACCCCGTGGACCAGAGCACGCCAGGCACTCCAGTCTTCCACTGCCTCCCGCAGTTTGGTCAAACTCATGCTGGTAGCTTCGAGAACACTATCCAACCATCTCGTCCTCTGTCATCCCCTTCTCCTTGTGCCCTCCATCTTTCCCAACATCAGGGTCTTTTCCAGGGAGTCTTCTCTTCTCATGAGGTGGCCAAAGTATTGGAGCCTCAGCTTCACGATCTGTCCTTCCAGTGAGCACTCAGGGCTGATTTCCTTAAGAATGGAGAGGTTTGATCTTCTTGCAGTCCATGGGACTCTCAGGAGTCTCCTCCAACACCATAATTCAAAAGCATCAATTCTTCGGTGATCAGCCTTCTTTATGGTCCAGCTCTCACTTCCATACATCACTACTGGGAAAACCATAGCTTTAACTATACGGACCTTTGTTGGCAAGGTGATGTCTCTGCTTTTTAAGATGCTGTCTAGATTCCACTAAATCAGTGAATGTTCAAAAGGCACCAGACTTTTCTGGTTAAAACCTAGCCTCAGTTTTTTGTTCTATAACAAAAAATGCTTGGTGAAAGCTTTTTGCTTACGTTTTACTAAAGCTGATATAATTGAGAGTGCCAAGTTCTCTGAGAGAATCAAATATGGTGAGGAAACTGAGTAGAATCTGGTCCCACTTCTAAGCACACGAAAAGAAGGTTCCTCCAGACAAAAAAGGTCAAAACCAGTTATTAACATAGCAAACAACAGGTCTGCTCTCAAACTCTGATTGCTCATATTTGTATTCAAAATTACAGGAAATAAAGCATTTGTTATCAAACCCTTTAAAACCAATCACCCTTTAAAAAAGAAAAATAGACAGCTGAGTCAAAAATAATTTTTAAGCTATTCAGAAAGGTGAAAGAAATGCACATTCAGAAACATGACAGCAAAACAGTCATTTAGGCTCAAGTCCTAATCCCACATTACATTTTATCCTGTCTGCAAGGATGAAAGCTGACTCAATTACTTCCTGGTACACAATGATTCTATGCCAAACGGCTTCCATCACAAAACAGGCCAGGAATATTTAAGGAATGGGGCACACAGTGCCTAGCTCCAAATTTGTGAGCTAAAAAGAGACAAGGTTTGTAAAGTATCTGGAAAATAGAAGTAGTATATTATACCCTTAAGGCTGCAATCTGAGGCACACTTACCAGAAAGTAAATCCCACTGGATTAGTGGGAATTACTTCCAAGAAAGCGTTCTTAGGATTGCATTGAAAGTATCTTTCTTAAATGTATTTCTCCCTTAAGCCCACATCATTCTATAAATCAGTTCCACAAGGCTAGACAACAGGGCTGACTAAAAAGAAACAAAAGCATCTTTTAAAAGTCAGTATTCAATGCTGAGGTGCCCGTGATATTTTCAACTCTGCAAAATAATATTAAACAAATAAATTCATTGAAATGCACTGGGAGCAACCATCCCAACCGCAACTTTCTATCACCAAGGAATTGCGTGTTACTGATTCTTCTAAGTGATGGCAGCTCCTTGTTAAACACTGACTATCCTGAATTCCCACTGCTGTTTGACAGATTTGTAAGCTCTTAGTTCTTTGAAGAATCGTGTAGCACACTTAGGACTTCAATACAATTTTATTGTTCTAGCCAAAGGCCATGACAAACCTGCTGCAAGAGTACCAATAAAACAATATGGATCATACAGTCATAATATGAGCCAACATCCATGATGTAACAGAGGAGTTACCAGAGACAACAACAAACTCAAATCCAGCTTGATATCAAATTAAACCTCTGAATCACCACAACAATTTATAGCAATTTTATCTAACTCAGTCAGGGACTGGCTAAATGAAAAGATGTGGTGAGAGGCACCTGCTGGGGGACCCTCAAGAGAAATCCCAGAGGAGAAAGGCTCAGAACCAGGAGATTGGTGGTGGGATGCTGAGAAAAGGTCAGAGGGAGAAGATGGGGAGCAGGGGCTGGATGCTGAAGGGGCAACAGGGTTTAGTGAGCAGGAAGAGCCTGTGACAGGGAGCAGTTCAGACTCCGAGGCCGAAGCAGAGAAGGGGAGTCAACAGGCTGCTGAAGAATCCAGAGAGTCTCCCTCTCCTGCCGCACCAGGCTCCCCTCCCTGCTGGTCTCCAAGAACATGCAGAATAATGAGGAGAGCAGAACAGAGGCGTGCAGGCGCAGTTTGAGACTGCTTGGGAAACATCTGAGAGAGGAGGAGTCTTAGAAAGTGTGGAAGGCAGGGACCTTCAGTCCTGGCAACTGCTCCATAGAGCAAGACCTACTAAGAAGTGTCCCTGGGGTTGTATGCCATTTCTTTGAATAAAGAGTTAACTTCACTGACAATAGAGCCCTGCGTCTTTTGTGCTAACCTGCGTCTGACTCCAGCCCTGACACTCCCTTTTCCTCAGCATCCCTTTCTGCACTGGGCCTCACAGAGGGGAGGGGAGGCAAAGCCAGGAATTAGGCCTTGGAAACAGCAGCCATAGTTGAAATGTGTTCAGGCAGATTTCTGGAAACCTTTATAATCCTTCCAGGTCAGGGAGGCAATGGACCACTTAAGGAGGAAGAGGCACTGGAGTAGGCTTTCTCCAACCTGCCGCCCTCCAGATGTTCCAGACCACAGCTCCCATTAGCCCTATCCAGTACCAATGGAAATTGCTGTTCAAAACGCCTGAAGGGCACCAGGTTGGGGAAGGCTGCCCAAAAGCCTGAGGATGCCCCACAGCACTTAGGACTTATTATTTCCAAAGGCTCAAAAATTAAGTTTTTAAAAAGGAAAAGGAAAATGGCAGTCTCAACCATTTTGTTTCTATCATTCAGTTACTTATGGGAAAAGACAAAAAGGGGGGCATGAAATATGAGTCTCATGACAAAATATTTCTCCACCTAGTTTCATACATCTGAATCTATTATGTTTCCCGCCCGCCCACCCCCCAAAAAAAACCAACAACCCAAAATTCTTATGTTATTTACAATCAGCCTGCTTTTTAGTTATCCTACCTGACCCGTTTTATAGTGCCTTGCAAATTGGTTCACCACTCGATAATCATTTGCAAAATACTCCATCAAGATAGAGGGAACTTCAGCAAAGTCTGTAGAACATCTTGTCCCTATAGAAAAGAAGCAGAAGCATTAACATGCAGGTAGCCATAAAGTTTACATAAATTCTTCTGTCTTCTCCAAAGTTCCTCTTAGCTTTCCATCTGCACTTTTGATGAACTGTGGTAAATCATTCATTAAGTAAATATTTCATTTCTGTAATGTTATTGTACATACTGGCAGAAAAGCTAAATTATAATCCTACATGTTTTACTGCAAATCACAAAGTAAATACAATATTTGAACAGCTGGGTGAGGCACCCTATAAAGCTATGGCTCACACCCTTTATAAACTTAAACCAGGCTACAGCCAATCTGGCCCCACTTTAAACACTAAATCCGTAATTGTCGTTACTTTATACCTAATTATAATAAAAATATCAAACTGTGCTTAAAAATCTAATCCCATTTACAAATATTATCATCCCATCTGTCTGATGAGCTAGCACAATTATTGTCCATATTTGCTTTCCTTTATTGTTCAAGGTATCAGTCACTGAAGAGCAGCTTTTTTGGGGGGGGGGGTGTTAACTCAAGACACCTGACGGTGAAATAACAATTTACAATTAAAAAATTAAGTCCTCACATCTAGTCTCTTCTCCTTTGTGATCAGTGGGCTTCAAGCTTTTATAGATTGTCACTTTCTGGAGCTACAAATATTTGTATATTTCTATTCCTTGTATGGCAGGGGGTAGGGAACTAGATCCAGCTGGTTGATCCAGTCATGTAACGTAAGGTGACATCATATAACATAAGGTGATTCAAAACTCAAGATGCAATGGAAAATTCAATCTGGGGATGAAAAGGACCTTCCTCTGAAGTTGCAGCATGTTCAGACCACAGCTGAACAGAAGAACCTTTGCATCCTTGGCATGAATTCAAGCCAAGGTTCAAAAGAAGGTTTTTCCTGCAACTGGCGCCTACAAGGAAGGTGGGTGTGATTTGCCCAAAGCCACTTGGCAAGCCAGCCTCCAAAACCTGGCAAGCCTAATTAGGCCTGCAGGCTGGAGGTTCCCCACCACTTTGTACGCAACCTGGACTTCTTTCCTCAAGTGTTACTAGATGGGGGGGTCTTGCATTTTTGCAGCGCTCAAACCACAACATGTTGTGATGAAGTTTTGTTTCTTTAGCCTTAGCTAGCAGATCCATTGTGGTCTGGGAGGCTGTGCGGAACATGAGTGTCATGAACATCTACAGTGGTGCCTCGCAAGACGAAATTAATCAGTTCCGCGAGTCTCTTCGTCTAGCGGTTTTTTCGTCTTGCGAAGCAACCCTATTAGCGGTTTAGCGGCTATTAAAGGCTTAGCGGCTAAAAGGCTATTAGCGGCTTAGAAAAAGGGGGGGGAAGCAAAAAAAATCTCAAGACTCGCAAGACATTTTCGTCTTGCAAAGCAAGCCCATAGGGAAATTCGTCCTGCGAAGCGCATCGAAAAACGGAAAACCCTTTCGTCTAGCGGGTTTTTCGTCTTGCGAGGCATTCGTCTTGCGGGGCACCACTGTACTGAATAGTGCCAGGTTGGGGGGGGGGGGGGATGCAATGTACATTTCTCACTCCCAGCGCTTCTTCATGAAGCTTGTAGTTGAGCTATAGAATTTGCTCCCACAGGAGGTGGTGGTGGCCACCAACTTGGATGGCTTTCAAAAATGAATGGACAAATTAATGGACAATAAGGCTTTTAGTGGCGACTAGCCATGATGACTATGTTCTACTTCCACTGTCAGAGGTAGTATGCCTCTGAATACCAGCTGCTGGGAGTCGCAGGTGGGCAGAGTTCTATTCTGCACTTATGCTGTTTGCAGGCTTCCGACAAACACCTGGTTGGCCACTGTGAGAACAGAATGCTGGGCCATTGACATGATCCAGCAGGCTCTTCTTATGTTCCCCCACCCCTTGCACTGGATGATAACTAGTTTAACTACATCATTTAAAAGAGGATAGGAGGAAGACGGGGAGTAACAGTGAAACTGAGAAATCACAAAGGGTCTGAAGGAAGGTTAAGCACCACAGAGTTGGGGGATGGAGCTTCTGCAACATACCAAAATTCCTAGCTCACCACCTACTACTGATCTGAAAGATTTAAAGATCTATTAAATTAAATAAATAAGTATTTTAATGCTAGCAAAATCACCCTTGACATGGATGCTACTGGAATGGAGACTAAATCTGCTCCCTGCCTCTGCTCACTAATACACCTATCAAGAATTAAGTCTGTTCCTGCATAGTACCATCCTTGTTTCTGCTCCTTATTCACACAAAGTATGATGGGCAGTTGGGAAAAGGGTTATATGTAATATACAGAAGATAATTTGGAGTAGTTTTTAAAGGCCAGTAAGAAAATTGCTCTCAGCTGCCTTAAAGATAAGACTAAAACCTCTACTTGCAGCACAAAAAGATACACCATGTGCAAACTATGAAAGGGTTGCATGTAAAAAGTGAAGTACTTGTTTGAACTTTAACCAGTAAGCTTACCAGTGACATGTTGGTATCGAGTCCTTCCCAGCATAGAATGCATGGCATGTCCCATTTCATGGAAGAGATTCTCCATCATCCCAGGAGTAAGCAATGTTGGTGAACTACTAGTGGAATGGGGCAAACTTAGCATAAGGACAACAACAGGAAGCTGGTATTCTCCATTTTCTTTTAGCCTGCCTCCACGTATCGTAAAGTGGCAATCCTATAAATATATATTTAGATCAGAAAAAACCACTCTTTTTCGTCAATACTTCACCATACTAATATAATTTAAGACATCAGCACGGTTTCAAGCAGTCACAGAATCTGCTTACAATTATAGAACTGTCTGAAATCAAGCTGTTGTACCGTACCGGAACAGATGGAGTGGCTAAGCAAAGTGAAGCCCTTTGGTTTAACTTGATTGTTTGGCATTCTGCTTATAAGTTTGTTTATCAGTTTATTTTAAATGTGGCAATTCAGTTGAACACGGAGATACCGGGATCAAATTGGGTGCATGCTTTTGGGGAATAATTCTGCTTTTGAAGCTGAAATACCAACTCAACCCTTTGAAGATTTTCCATGATCCCCCCTCCACTAGCAGCCCCCTGGTTCCTTACAAAGATCTGCTGACCAGAGATGTATTTGGAGGGGTACATGGGGCTGCAGGATCATATTTTGAGAAGAAGAAAAAAGGCTCATATCGTTTGTAATGTTAGGGAATTGTTACCTGATAAGGCTTGTCTGGTCTTTGAAAAAAATCACAATAGATGTATCCCAATAATCCTTCTTGTTCATGGACAACTGCCTAAAATAAAACAGGAAAGTACTAAGTGAAACACCCAACAACCGATGATGTGCTTCTGTAGGCTTTATGGGGGGAACATTCCAAATCTGACCATTTTATATGATTTTACTTTTTCCCCCCTCTTTGTTGTAGAATTCAAACTACTACTAGGTGATTCAAGTCCCATTCACAAGATTACTAAAGGTTTTAATATACAGTGGTGCCTCGCAAGACGAAATTAATCCGTTCCGCGAGAGTCTTCGTCTAGCGGTTTTTTCGTCTTGCGAAGCAACCCTATTAGTGGCTTAACGGATTAGCGCTATTAGCGGTTTAGCGGCTATTAAAGGCTTAAAGGCTTAGGGGATTAGCTGCTAAAAGGCTATTAAAGGCTATTAAAGGCTTAGCGGATTAGATAAAGGGGGGGGAAAGCGAAAAAAAAATCTCAAGACTCGCAAGACATTTTCGTCTTGCGAAGCAAGCCCATAGGGAAATTCGTCCTGCGAAGCAACTCAAAAACGGAAAACCCTTTCGTCTAGCGGGTTTTCCGTCTTGCGAGGCATTCGTCTTGCGGGGCACCACTGTACAAGTTCTACCGCTTATCCAAATGGATGACTCATGAAGCAATACAAAAATAACCAATACCTTTTAAAGCAATATTTGAGTTTTAAATCTGTTTCACACTACATATATCACAATTAAGCAATATGAGCAAAGATCTAATAGGAAGCAGTTATGAAAGATGAGACAGGAATAGTTTATCCACTTTACAGATGTTTGATGAATGACAGCTCCTGCTGTTACTTGGACTTTGAAGTATAAGTGAGAAAGATGACCCACTAGCAAGCATTAAGAAAAGGAAATAAAAAGATGTGAGAAAGCCAGCGTGCCCTGGACCTAATAAAACTGCTTTTAAATCTTTTCTTAGTCATAGTGATTTTAATGTCACATTTTCCTACATGCATGTTTTAGATTTTGGAAATACCGTAGAGAAAAGAAAAGCAGGATACAAGTTCAAGCATTAAGAAATAAATTTAAGTTGTAAATATTTAATTTGTTTTGCAAATTTGTTTTCCCATGATCTTCTTTAAAGTTTGTTCCAACTCAGAATCTGAAGTTGGTAGTTGCCCATGAAAGCTCATGCCATTTTGCAATAAAAAGCTTATTAAAAGTTAGTCTCATTGTGCCATCAAACACATTTCCTTTTGAAGTTTGTGCAGCTCATTCTTAGGTCTTGGCTCTTTCAACTTTACGAAATTTTTGCCTGTAGCCATTTTCAAGCTGCTTCCTTAAACATATTTGTAAAATGCAAGGAGGGAGATGTTGCTCCAGAACTGAGCCCCTCAGTGGCCTTGGGCAAATATTTATCTGAGTCATCACTGGGCACCAAGGAGAAGGGAACTGCAGGCAGTTCAAGCTTGAAAACTCACACCCAACAGCCCAGAATCCTCCTGGGCCCAGGAAATCAGATATTACCAAATGTCCAATTGCTTACCACTATCTGACCCAAAATTCCCAGAAATGCTGCCCTTCCTTGATCTAGGTAGGTTCTAGATAGTGCCACCAGAATCCACCTCTTCATTTTGCTGTCTGTTCCCTCCCATTGGCCTAAAAGCCTGAAATATTTCCCCTTTCTTTAAAACTGAAACAAGAGAGATATTCTTAAGCGCCGACTTGGGTACAAACAAAATAAAGCCTTTTTGCATTTAAAGGTGCTATACGAAATGATTGTCAACATTAACAAAGACAATGCAGGAATTAAAAACAAATAGCTATGAATTGCCCTACGAGGTGTTTTTCGGTGTAATTCAGAAAACTTCCTTTCTAAGCACCTTGTGCTTTGCTCAACAGTGAACTAGATTTACACAAGGGGTCTGAAATTCAGGACTTTGAATTCTTACCAGTTTGCGAACATCCTCACACCACACCTCTCCCTTCACGGTCTGTTCAGCATAAAGAGAGATCCCTAAGAGTTTATTGAACAAGATGTTCAGGCCTTCCATACATGCTCCAAGAGAGAAAAAGGGGCAATACAGGCTGGGTTCAATATTATACCTAAAACATACAAAATGGAAGGAAGGAAATGAATTATGAATAGCTACAACGTTGTCCCAATTTAAACAGTTTATATCACGCAAAGCCCAATTAAATGAATTAAAACATTACACTTGCTAGAAATAGTGCATCTACTTGGTTCAACACTTAGGCAGAAACATGGTCTCATTCACGTGGCATGCTAAGGCAAACCTTGACTTAGCATGTCAACACAAACATGTAAATTCCAGAAATGAGCTTGCAGCTGCTTTGCTCGTCCCGGTCGTTTTTGCTGCTGAGTGGCCCTAAGCTATGCCAAAGTTTGGCTTAGCAGGTTATCCAAACCAGGAGACATGGCTAAGCTCTCTCCTTACTAACCCCAAGCTGTAGTCAATGTTTGTTCTTCACCCTAGAAGGTGGCCTACAAATATTTTCAATAAATAGATCAGGTGGGTTGCACATGTAGCAAGCACCACAATTTTATTTTTGCTGGATAAAGGCAAAAGGTTCCTGTGTTCTGGGGTTCAGCTACAATATTTGATCCTAGCTACAGTATTTTACATTAGGAAAATGACTTTTTAAAAAAGCCAGCCAATATCATAGTGTGGTTATACACATCTATAACGTGACCACACAATGGAATACTGTGTACAGTTCCGGTTGCCTAAAATAAAAAGGGTATGGTAGACCTGGGGAACTTTCAGAAAAATGCAGCCAAATGTTCAAGGATTTTGAGCAAGTCCCCTCTACGGAAATGCACTGTGGCTATGTTCCACTTCCACTTTTGAAGGTAGTACAGTGGTACCTTGGGTTACATACACTTCAGGTTACAGACTCCACTAACCCAGAAATATTACTTCGGGTTAAGAACTTTGCTTCAGGATGAGAGCAGAAATCGTGCAGCGGCGGCGCAGCAGCAGCGGGAGGCCCCATTAGCTAAAGTGGTGCTTCAGGTTAAGAACGGACCTCCAGAACGAATTAAGTACTTAACCTGAGGTACCACTGTATGCTTCTGTGTACCACTTGCGAAGGTTCGCAAGTGGAGAGAGTGCTGTTGCACTCAGATTTTACTTGTGGGCTTCCCAGAGGCATCTGGCTGGCCATCATGAGAACAGAACGCTCTACTAGATGGGCCTTTGGTCAGATCCAACAGGGCTCTTCTTGCACTCTTATGCTAGCAGAGAGGAGCAAAACAGTCCAGACAGGTGAGTTCAAAGTAAACCATTAACTATGGCTCACCATAACCCACAAATTGAGCCAATGAATATCTGTCACAGTAGCCCCCCCCCCAAATTTCTATGCTGCTAGTACTCAAAAAAGGCACAGTAATCAAGTGTTATGAAGTGCAGCAAACAAACAAATGAAAGTAAGGAGACTGCCCCACCCTGCCCCACCATTCAATGAATTATCTCAAGCGTGTGTTTTTTTAAATTAAGCAACAACTGATTGTGATGCAACCTGAATTGTACACAGGATACAGCTAAAGTATACAAAGTTTGCTGACAGTTTTTCTTGCTCATAAATATAAACATATTTCATACACCAAGTTCCTTCCAACTCCTTGGTTTCTAGAGGCAAAGCTTGATATGTTACATCAGGATTACCATTGTAATAAGAGGTTCCCCCCCCCCATAACACATTTCACAAGAAGGTAAATGTAGGATTGAGAAAGCAAAACAAATGTACTAACAAAGTTGATAAAATGATAGAGGGCACTGGGTTCTTTATTTGATGTGAAATCCTGTTTTAGATTAAAAGGATGAGTTATGGGAAGAAATCCAATGGCCTTAATCATACAGCATTTGATTTACTAGTATTTTGAAAGGCAAGACACCAAGCCAGCTGCTTTAAACATGAAGTTAAATGGTACAATAAGGTGTTCATTATTCTTCATGAACAGCACGATTCAAATTGAAAAGAAAGTACTGCTAAAGAGCAATAGATGTAGTGTGCCATTGTAAACAATTATTTCTAAGCCTAGATGGCTTCATTCAGTCCAAATAAAATGAAGGAGTATAAAACGGCATTAATTTAAGTTGTACATTTGGAAAGAAGTTAAGACTTGTGTATTATGGCTGTCATCAACTTTATTCAAAATCTTTTTGATAGACCTAGTAATTAAAGGAAGGATTATATTTACTCAATATCATTAATCACCGAACATTCAGAACTGTAGCTATCACACGGGGAAATAATTTCTTGCAGCATTCCATAACCATAATTACCCCATATAAAACAAAGTCTTGGTTTTTTGTTTGTTTGATTGTTGAGCATTTGGTTTTAACAACCAAAACACTGGAATACATTAGCCAAAGAAATGACTCATTTAAATCATTTCTAGCATTAACTGCATGCCAGACAACAACACTTACAGACTTACAGCTTAGTCCTAAATAGGTGTAATCATTTATTTCTCATATTCTGCATGTCTATGCTTTCTCCAAGTTGCTCAGGGCAGTGTACATGGGATTACCCATTTTATGTTCCCAACAACCCTGTGGCACAACGCAGAGTAAGAAACAGCGATTGGCTTAAGACCACCCAAGGAGTTCTATGGCCAAGGGGTGTTTTGAATCAAGTCTTCCCAATCCAAGACCAACACTATTATCTGCCTCACATGCTGGCTCTCCTAGGTGATGCGTACTTCAGATTGCAGTCCTGAACAGTTATTTGAAGAAAGAGACAAACATGGATTTAAAACTTTCAGATTGTGTGTGTGTGTGTGCGGATGTGTGCATGTGGATATGTGTGTATGTGGTGGTAGTTCTGCCCACGACTGGCATGCACCCCCCCATGAGGTTTGACCAAGATGAAATGTAGTCCTTGGGCCAAAAATCAATCAATCAATCAATCAATCAATCAATCCTCACCCTTGAGCTAAACAAAACATACTCCCCCTCAAGAATACCACTGTAGTGTACTTGATTAGGATTTTAATATGTACTAACCTTGAATTAATTTGGATAAGGAAATATGATACTGGGAAGATACTAGGTAAGTGATAGGCATTATCAGGTTTTTGAACACTGAATTGAGTGTATAATTACCAGTCCCTTTTTATATATGATATGCAGAATAATGTTCTCCATGCTTATATATCTTGAACGCATTACATTAAAAAATGTATGCATAAATAAAATGTGTTTTGTAAGCCCTCAAGTGATTGGGAAACAAAAGGGATTGGAGAGAAGAGGCTAAATTGAGTCTTCCTACTGACAACTCAGATTCACTGGATTATATTTGATCTTGCCAGCTTCCTAGTTGCAGTCCTGTCTAATAAAAAGAAATGAACCAAATTCCATATGGTTGACTGCCAGTATGATCCAGAGCAATGAAAGCTGGAAGACGACAAAGGAAAAATCTGGTTGGCAATTTTGGGTTAAAAGCACTGAGTCAAATTACAAATATATGTAGCAATACATTCCCATTTCGTAATGTATTAGTATTGTTTTAGTGGGCAAGGCTGGATGTGATGTTTTTATCATGATTTCAGTTATGGGGGTTTGTGGGGGTTTTTTGTACAAATGACGGCCCTTGACATATTTCAGAATTTGATATCCAGTGTTCCAAACATGCACTGACGTATTCGTCATGTCCGTATAAATGATATGACTACAAAAACATATAGTCAACACAAATGCCACATCACAGACAAAACATCATTTTAAATGACATATATCTAATCGTAAAATGAAAACTATTGCTGTTCTCTGACGGCAAAGCTAAGAGGCAGCTCATCTTTCCAAAAGAAAACTTGACAAAGCTATGCAAAAAAGGTGGCAAATTGATGCAGGAGCTCCCCCTGGTGTTTACAAACAGAAAAGTTACTATTAATAGGCCTGGACGCAAAATCCTGATGTACATGTGGAAGGGCCTCAGGCTGCGGGATACACCTGTCCCCCCCCCCAATTCATCTGTGCCCCCTGCACCCCTGAAAACTGACTCCAAGGAATCAAGATGCCTTCCACCTTAGTTTTAGGGGAGCTGACGATGGTGGGAGGTGGGCTGGTAGACTTGCCCAGGGCAAGTTCTTAACGTGAGGTATTATTCTGGGTTAGCGGAGTCTGTAACCTGAAGCATATGTAACCTGAAGCGTATGTAACCCGAGGTACCACTGTATGTTCACGGACTGTAATGTGTCTGTTATGCTGTAAGATGATAAACTAACCACAATATTATTTTATTGCAATAGCTTAAGGTATCACAATGCCTCTCTTTAAAGATCAACTGACGAAATGAATTAACTAGGAATAATTATTGACATGTACATGGTACATATGTGTTTTGCTGGCTTCAGTGTGATTTTTAAAAAATGTATGTTCAGTATTTATAATGAATATTATCTGGGAAGACACTGGCACATTTTACTTTGGGAGGATTCCCAAATTCCCTTTGGGAGGATATCAATTAAAAAATCCAACAGATAGCAGAGGGGTTTAAATGCTTTCCCCCCCAGAACACACACATGGTTTTGGAGAAAGGTGACCAATACAAATAGATTCTTAGCCATACCCTCCTGCACAGAAAAGAAAACTACAACCTGGTAGTTATCTCAGCTCTTATACAGAAAATATATACATTGAAAAGTTGTGGCTGGCTCCAATGCAAGTGCAAACAAAAACACACACTTCAAAACAATACAAAAAGGTAAAGAAGCATTGATTTGCTACAGGAGTATATATGATAACTATAGCAGAACGTTTAACAACTAAAATCTAAGTATTAGAATGCAAATAAAGTGCTAGATACACCAGTTGCAGCAGAAGGCCATAACACTGACCTCTCAGCACGCAGGACACCACTGTGGTATGGATGATCCCAAGGCATCAATTCCTGAAAATTAAAGCATTCACGTTTTCAAACACATAACACAAATCAAATGAAACAAGTCGGATCCAACAGCTTTCTTTCCACAGCAGCATATCTGTAATGACTGTTTTCACAGAGCTTTAGGTGCGATCTTACCTGCCCTGTACACAACCTGACTATTCGGCTTATGCACGGTGCATAGTTGACAAGTTCTGGCCATGTTGTTTCTCGAACATATATATCACTTCATTGCCAGTGTTAAGGTTTTACATAAAAGTGTATCAACAATAACACAACAAGAAAACAAACAAAAATAAAGTCCAAAGCAAGAATTAAGCAAATAATCCAGCTAAGCACGCTGCTAACATCCTAATATTTTAGCAAGCCAAACGCCCTTTGAAAAATTATGGTTTCCACCTGCTATCAAAAGATGAAGAAGGATGTTAGCAGGTGAGCCTCTCTAAATACAAAGTTCCTTAACTGGGTGCTACTGCTGAAAAGGCCCTACGTCTTATAGCCACCCCTGTAACAAATGAAAAATATGTGACCAAACACCAAACCGATAACTGGGAGCACATGATACCTGTGTTTCAGTGATGGCAAGGGCTATCAATGACATCAAAGGCAAAATTCAAGATGCTTTTTTTAAACCATCATCTCTTTTGTACAGTAACTTAAGCCAAACATCTCCTTCCACATGCATCCGCTCTAAAAGGGGCATGTTCAATTAAGTATCTCCAGTTTTCTGGAGCGGGGAGAAATACAAAGAAATGATGATCAGGAAAGAATTTACCTACCACTTCTGTGTATTTTACAAAGGAAAGCACAGATTTAACATATCTACATCATTTACAGATGATATGACCGCATCGAAGTACAAAGCAGCAAGTGAAAAGTGGAACAGTGAACTTGCCTTGAGCATTCAGGACAGGCAGCTAGAAGATTTAAATATAATCAAATAATGTGATCTAAGACTTAAAAGGCTTCAAGATGTCCACTTGTATTTATCCAACCAAATTTCATTGAGGGGCATTTGAGGTCCCAAATTATACATTGTGAGGCAGAACTATTAGAATAATCATGCAGCAACCCAGTTATTGGAAAGACCGTGGTTTCTGAACAAAAATACTGGAGCCTGCCAACACACAGGCTAGACACATGCAGTTTTTCAAATCTGGCCTCTGCCTTTTCAAGCTTGCAAAAACTAATTGAACAAAATGTTTGACATACTCAAGAGAAGACATTACATTTTCCATCTTAAGTTTTGGCTACCACATAAATCACTGTGTTTAAACCAATATCTTCTTTTAAGTGGTTAGTTTCCCTTAGAGAAAAGAGCCTTGAAACCCAACACCGTTATAATACAAAGCCAAGAGAAAGAGAAAGCTTAGATTACGTCAACATAACTCTGAAATTATAGAAAGTATTTTCTCAAACTAGCATTCAACTCATTCAAGTTGAGAACAAGTAAATGCAAAATATAACTTACTGATTTTATAGGATTTAGTTTCATTTTCATGCCTTTCATCATTTCAAAATCCTTTAGAGTACTGAAAAACAATTTCACCATAATATTTTGTTAAAGTGCTTTTCAAAAGACTTTGTAGTATAATACAATTACTAGACAATCATTTGTCCATTTTGCAAATAAATGTATCTTTCACACAAGCAAACGAACAAAATGTGCCATAAAGAGTTGTGATTCTTCTCTGCTTTTTTAGAATAGGTTTTTCAGTAAGGGATAATACTTTCCAATATACAGAAAATATTTGGCTGGTTTCCCTCTTTACATCACTGGAAAACAGAACATTGGTATGCTTACCATGAAAGGGCCTTTTGGCTGGCAGTGAGACATCCACCGTTCAGAATATTTTTACAATTACAGTATGACCTTAATCTGTAGTTGATTAGATATAATCCTTTACAATAATCTTGCAGAAATAAGATGGGGGGGATTAATTATGAAATCTAAGTGTATTTTTTATTGATTCTGCTAGTAATATTACAAGATTTTTACCTTGCAGCAAGACAAATTTGTTCTCCTTTTAAATCTTGTTAAAAAATAAACTCACCGACTGAATAACTTATCTGAAAGCTTCTCAAGAAATTGCATTACTTTCTCTAAAAAACAGAATGGAAGAAATATTGGTACAGTAGGCAGAAAGAACACTTAAGAAATAATTTATATACAGCTGTAAACTTTCATCTAAAGTAATCTTCAGAGGTCAGAGATGGCAAGAATTGTAGTCTCACAAAATCTGAAGGGCCACACGTTCCCCATGCAAAGTTCACTGGAACTTTGAAACAATGTGAATATATTGAATAAGGAAGTTCTCCATAAGCAGCAAATAATAAATACTCATGGACAGTCAACATGGCAGGGGGTTGGACTCGATGGCCCTTGTGGTCTCTTCCAACTCTATGATTCTATGATTCTAAAATAACAAGCAGCAACATTTCTTTAACACAACAATTTCACTGAGACATCATTCTATGCAGTGTATTTCGTATGAGGATGTAATATATTTAAAACCTTCTGACACTGCATAAATTAGTGTTTGACTGCAATTTCATGTTCCTTGGGAGTGTGTGCCCGGACCATAGGATTCTCTGACGCCCCCTTTCAGAGGATGGAGAGAAACAAAGGTCCACCTTTAGAGAGGGAGATCCAACCTCGTATGCCTCCCCCATGAGGCTGTGAAAAGGTCCACATAGTGCCCCTCAGGTGTTGGGAGAGGGCAAATATGGGCCTTGCAGGGTGCTGTCAGGGGCATGCCAGGAAAGGCTGTAGATCCACAGGATCCAAAGGCATCCCACTTTCCTGAAACAGAGCTAGTGTTATTTCCCTCCCATTCGAATCAATAAGAGAGAAACTGTTGCCAGGGGAAGGGGAAATTGAACACGAAGGAAAATGCTCCCCTCCCACTTTTCTCTCCTCCCATGTACTACTAATCTCTTGTAACAATCTGCACAGCCTGCATTTATCCTGGCATAATTCACAATTAGCATTACCTGGAGTTTTGGCCATTGTCCCCTGAAGAGCCCGATGAGCAAATGTATCATATCCTACTAACTGGGCCAGAAGGTTTCTGCTGGTAAGAAGTTCCTCTAAACAGTGTAATTGCTGAGCATTTGGGTACAGGAAAACCTTGTAGGCAACTTCACGTACCTAAGGTTAATTCAAAAGAAAAGCAATATATGGACAACTACAATAGCAAAATGCAGAAATTGATGAAAAGACATTTATATTACAGTGGTACCTCGGGTTAAGTACTTAATTCGTTCCAGAGGTCCATTCTTAACCTGAAACTGTTCTTAACCTGAAGCACCACTTTAGCTAATGGGGCCTCCCGCTGCCGCTGCGCCGCCGGAGCACGATTTCTGTTCTCATCCTGAAGCAAAGTTCTTAACCCGAGGTACTATTTCTGGGTTAACGGAGTCTGTAACCTGAAGCGTCTGTAACCCGAGGTACCACTGTATACAGTATCACCCTGTTGCAAATGAAGGGAAGAGACAGTAGGAATATTCACTTCTTCCCTAACTGGTCAATTTCTGAATCCCTTTCCCCGGTCATTAGATGGAGCATTAAAAAAGATAGCATTTGCAAATTTAGTCATCACACCTATGGCTTAGGTGTGGGGTATACAGTTAAAAGACCTCCATGCAGACAAATGGATATAGTTGAAGGTTTTCTTCCATCTCATGTACTTAAAGAACCTAGCTGAAAGTTGGAAGATCCCAGACAGACAAAAAGAAGTCTTCTTTACATAGCACATACTATGGAATTGTACTGATGGTCCCCAACTTGGATTGTTGGGTTTTCCCAGTGTGAAAAGAACTTTTCAGCTCCCTGCCTTGCTTGCTTGGCAAGGCCCACTCAGCACATCGGCTCCAGAAGGCTAGGGATGCTGGCACAAGACCTCATAGGGACAAGGATGACTCCAAGAGATCTCATGAGAGCATCCTAGAACCGATGTGCCAAGAGGGCCTTGCTTGCATTTAACTTGTGGATTTCAACCAAATGGCCTTCAACCACATAGGGTTGAACTAACATGAGTTAAATGCTTGTAAGATGTGATCGTACTCTATATGGTGCTGTCATGTACTTCATGTATACATACCAGATCATCAGGACTATCAGCACTGAGACCACTGATTTGGGCATAATTGCCTTCAACTGCAAAATGATGCCGAATGTGTTCTGGTAAAATGTGCTTGTCAACCTTGTTTGGAAGATGAGATCCTATGAGAAATTCATTACACAAATCCAATATTTTGACATTGAGATTTACCGCTCTCCTTCGCTGCAAATGAGAAATAAACAGAGCAATAAATATTTCTTTAAAATATAGTTTCCGTTAACATCTTTAAAAGCTTTAGTTCAGATTCCTGCATTGCACTGGTTCAGCAATCTGTGGGAATATTCCCATGCATACATATTCCTTATGAAATTAAGATGTTTTAAAAACTAAGACGATTGTATCTTAGCTGTAGAAATTAATACCATGCCATTAAGGTTAAGGATCATTGTATTCTGTAAATCTTGATTATGGCGGTTAATCAGCATATTATGCTTGGGATAAGGGCTTAGTTTCTAGAAGGCTCAGCCAATAGCCTTTCTTATAATGGAAATAACTTACCTTTTCTTCATCCAAATGAATACCACTGATCTCAAAATCAAACATGAAAAGTTCTGCTACTCGCCTGAAATAATAAAATCACATTAACTGCAGGACATGTACTTTTATAGACTCATCCCTTTTACAGATATATATTACATTTTGCAGATTATTATGTTGCAGACCAAGTTCTAATTTGTCAATGTAGGGAACTATCAACATAATTTATTCATTATTTAATATAATTTCTATCCCACATTTCACCACAGGACCCCAGAGAGTGTTACAATTATTAAAATACGTTAAAAAAAATCAAAAGCAATGCACAATTCAATTTTTTTAAAAAAAATCCTCCATCACTATTTCTGTACAGGCAAATTGCCCTGAAATATCCAAATGGCCTGGAAGAAGAGAAAGATTTTCAGCTGGCACTGAAAAATGGACAGTATCAGTCCCAGCCATGCCTTAGGGAAGGAGATTCCACAATCTGAGTGTGGCATACAGGAAATATTGAAAATCATTAACAATGACATACCAGCTGACTTCACAGTCAAGTCAGCAGAATCATGAACTATGCAATTTACTCACTAATTGCCTGGTGCTGATGAAAACAAATAATAACATGGATCCAAGCTCACAGCAATGGAACATCTTTTTTTAAATGAAAATAGCTTTCCATATGGCATACATACAAAACAATCCTAACCATGTGCTCTCAGAAGTAAGTCCTGTTGAATTCAATGGTGCTTACTCCCAGGTAAGCAGGGTTAGGATTGCAGTCTCATGGAACTAAGTGTCGTAGGGTGCTGCTACATTGATGAAATAAACTAGATACAGACAATCTTCATGTTCACAGGGAAGACAAATATTTGCATTGTTTAATTCTTTCTAAGAATAGATATTATCATGTCTTGTTTGCAAACTTTTTTATGGCACACTGACCATAAGTCTGATAAAGCTCTGAGGCCTTAGACAAAAAAAGTCAAAAGGAATTTAAGATGACCATGATAATTGGGGTGTTAGGGTTACCAACCCTGACCAAACCATGGAGTTTTAAAATTTCCAGAGGAAAGCACAGAATTTTACAAATTTTACAAGTCCCCTCAGTTTCAGAGTAGCGAGTAGATTCTGAACTGAGGAAGCATGGTACATCTATCAAAGGAAGCATGGTACGTCTATCAAAGGAAGCATGGTACGTCTATCAAAGGACAAGTCTGGATATATTGGATATATATTTCAAAGAATGAAATGGCACTTGTAACCATAGGTTACCTAGACCACTAACAAAATGTTTTCCATAGTTAAAGACTGGAATTAGACTCACAAATATGGTATACTGTGAAAATAATTTCACCGTGTTTTGAACTACCTATATTGTAATAAGGTATGCAGAACATTAAATAGTCAACATTCTGAGTATCATGAAGAAATATCTAGTGAAACAAAATTAAAAATGTGTACCTTGTTTCTGGATCAAGGGATGCCATTACACCTTTATCAGCCAACAACTTTCTTAGACTTTGGCACAAATCTACATCTGTATTTAATCTAGAAAGACAGAAGATTAAAGGATCAGTTGCTACTAATACAATTATTTCATAGTACAATAACAAAAACATTTTTAGGTTTACTATTTCTGCAGAATTTTTTTGTCGTGTCTTTTAAACTGTCAGGTTTTCAGAAACCACAGAATGTTAACATCACCATAACCAGTGAAGTGTAGATGAGAGCAACAGATCAGTCAACAAGTACTTATTCACAACACAACAATGAAAATAGGTGGCGTATTAAGATTGTTGCAGTCATAAGAAGAACTAATAGGCAGCAAAAGACCCCAACCCGTGCAACAGGGGCCTTGCTGGGTGAAAAGGTTTTGCTCTCCAGCAGTCATTTTTGGGGAGGCAGCCTTTCCCCTGCACCATGCAAGGCTATTTTAGCAAGAGACATTATAGTAAGTGGCTCCTCCCAATAAACACTTCCCATCTTAGAATTGTGGCATTGTAGAGTTGGAAGGGACCCTGAGGATCATCTAGTCCAACCCGCTGCAATGCAGCTCTCCCATATGGGGATCAAACCTGCAACTTTGGCATTATCAGCACCACACTCTAAGCAACTGAGCCATCTAGATGTTAGGCCTGCACTTCTCATTCAAAACAACTGCTCAGTACTACTTCTTTTCTTTTTTTAATTTCATGAAAAGCAACCATGCTTAAATCAATAAGCATTTTGGAGCTAATTAAATGACTGGGTTGTTTTTTAATGGAACTCTTGGATTTCATTTTTCTTAAATGACCACTCATGTAATATGGACCATTGCTTTCCCCACCAATAGGATGGTGTCCTTCCACTGGTATGAACAGAACACAGAAAAATATTACACATTGTAAAAGGACAATATCTCAATTATAATTAGAAACGCTATTGAATTTCAGTCTGGAAACAGCCCTAGTGGTTAGGAAACATGTATTTAGAATTAGAATATCAGGGCTGTAATTACTATAAACTAAAAAACATTTTTACCAGATTTCTTAATTGGAAGAGAGATTCTCCTTGTTTTCATAAAGACTTTAGAACACATAGGAAAACAAAACACCTTGTTGTCTACTGTTCATAGCAGCATTCAATAAACAGATAAACTGTAACATAATGAATAAAACGTACTTTTCTACCATAGTGCCAATGCTTCTGCAGGCTTCCTCAGCAGCCTCTCTGAAAGCAAAATCTGGATGGGCAATTTTCACAAAGTCAGCCTAAAGCAGTAGAAAAAAGAAACTATAATAGTGATAGGGAAATGTTTGTTTTGATATTTAAAGAAAAGTTAGAAATTCAAACTTAAATTGCCATGTGAATCTTTTTTCATAAGAGCATCTTGTGTTTCATAGCAGTACAATCTATTGATACTATTAAAAATGGCATTTTCCTCACACAGCTTCAGGAAAAGCACATTTAAATTATTTTCAAACACAGATGAACATGAGAGGAAGAAAATCTTTGTACCACTCTGCTTGAGGATCAGCCACATGTCTATCCTACTGTCTGTATACATAATGGGAAGCCATAGCTAGCAGTGGGTTACCAAAATGTATAAAACAAATACATGCACTATCTAACACAACGGCATAATCCCCAGTAAATAAATTACTGCCTAAAAGCAATGTTTTAACAAGCCCAGTACTCACTATATTGGGCACTACATTTTAAAAAATAAATCAAGGAGTTAGAGCGACAGGCTTGTCTGTTTTAGCAGGAAATCTCATTTAGTTTCATTGTTAATTATAACATTGATATAGTTCCCATTGCATTTGACAAAATTTACAAAACTGGAATCTAGAAATGTGATAATTAACAAATGGCAATTTCAAAGTTTCAAAAGTATCTTACCAGATCTGCTACTCTACACAAAGCATCTGAGAGCTGATCAAAGATCATGACTATCTCCTTCCCAGGCGGTGTAGTACATGCTTTTTGTACTAGTCGTTCTGTTTCTTGCAGTGATTTTTCTTGAGCTTCTTGAAATCCTTCTGGACAACTCAACTCTGGTACACCAAACAGACCCTAAAACACAAAGAACAGGTCCCATATAAATAATAAATACACTACAACTTTTCCTGTTTCGCAGCAATGCTATAAATTATAAACCCGCTTTTTACATTTAAGCTGTATTTATAAAAATACATGAAGTGTGAAAATGTTTCAGCACACTTCATTTAATCACCAACTTCTCAACACAGCAATTATGTTTTTATTTGGGTGCCCGAAGTAGATTCCTAAATTAATATTACAGCGTCTTGTGTTTATACTACAAGTGGGAATCACTGGTATGATTTTCAGCAAAATGTTGTTGCTTGGGATGCTGCTACTCAGTTCAGCTGGTGAGCCATGCCGTCTTTCAGGATGCTCCATTCACTCCATCCCATAGGCCAGTCAGCATCCTGTATCCACTGAGCTTATTCAGTTATAGTGATGTTTTGGGGCTCCCCCCCATAGGTTTATATGTGCATGTGTCTGCAACATATGCGTTCATGTGTCATATATATGTGCAAGTGTCTGTGATGTACATTATACATAAAGAGTGGTACCTCGGATCTTGAACGTAATCTGTTCTGGAAGACCATTCGGCTTCCAAAACGTTTGAAAACTGAGGCACATTTTCCAATTGGTTGTAAGAGCTTCTTGCACTCAGCAAAAATCACGTTGCACGTTTGACTTCCGAAAAACATTCAAAAATGGAATCATTTACTTCTGGGTTTTCAGTGTTCGAGAACCAAAACGTACAACAACAGAGGTGTTCAGGAACCGAGGTACCACTGTACACACATTTACATCTGTACGCATACACAAAACCTCAGTATTTACCCAAGCCTGCAGATTTTTTCTCTCTGGAGTGTGTGGAAATTCAGTGAAGACCCCAGACACTGTGAACCAGTATGGTGTAGTAGTTAAGGTGTTTTGGCTACATAAGGAACTACACTGAGAACTGAAAAACAGAGTACTGTATAGGATAGCTTGGAAATTGAGATGCAGTATATACATTAGTGACCTCTTACACCAGGTTACCATAACTTGCTAAACACTTTTCCAAAGAAACAAAACTCTTGAATGGTCACTAATTTCCAAATGCCACTGTTAAGCCTAAGGTTGTCGCCTTTTATGGATTGTTCCTGTGTTTTACTGACAACTCTCACTGGCTTTTCAGGTCAACCATAGGGCTGTGCTATGTGACATGTTGATGATCCAGGATTAGTTCAGAGTTAAAATTCAGCTCACCCAAAGCCAACAGTGGGTACTTGGAATTTACTGAACCCTTATGCCAGTGCTGCAACTTAGCAGAACAAGGAGTGTGCAGGTATGCTTTAAGAATGCACAACAAGCAAAGAGCTTGTAAAGGTTATCCTAGCATAAAGAGACAGTGGTGAAAAAAGGTCCTGCTGGATTTCTAGCTGTCTGAGCTACTATGCCATGAAGCTCAATGGGGTGGAGGTGTTCCTAACCCTACAATTCAAATCAAGGACTATTCTGTGGGGAAAGTCAGTGAAGACCCCAGACACTGTGAACCAGTGTGGTGTAGTAGTTAAGGTGTTTTATTCAAACCTGAGGCACTTTGGGTCAGATCTCCACTCTGCCACAAAACTGAGGCCAGCTGCTTAACCCACCTCACAGGGCTGTTTTATTTATTTAGGAGCGGTAGTGGATATAAACCACTTTTAAAAACCTTTAAGTAGCATACAATAATACAAAACAATTATGCACAGGTATGAAACAACACACAGACAAACGGCTGTGGTGAGGATAAAGGGATGGGTGGGAGCAGCTATCTATTCCTTTTGGAAGCAGGCAGAAATAAAAATAAAATCCTGGCCGTGCACAGCCTTCGCATCGCTTGCTCCGGAGTCTTGGCACCGAAAAGAGGTTCTGGGGCTCAGAACAAGTCTCTCCTTCTCCGACCCCGTTAGGGGGTCGCCCCAGCCTCCCCGGCCCAGGTGGCCTCTCACCGTTTTCTTCCCCAGCTCCCGCCGGTGCTGCTGCTGAGCGTTAAAGGCAGCGCCCACCGGGGACCAGCTGGTGCTGACCCATCTCTGGGGAGCGGAGCTGCTGCAACCGCCGGCCCGGCCGGGCGGGCCCCACCTCAAGCCGCTCGCGGCAGACCGCGCCACACGACCGCAGCCGGCCAGCATGGCGGCCCCGGCCGGTCTCCCCGCCTGCCTGCTCGGCCTGTACTCTTTTTCTTGAGAGGGAAATGCTCCCTTCGCTACACGCCGACCAGGCCGCTAGAGTGCCTCGGCCTCGCTTGTTCCTGGTTCCGGCGGTGACCTCTTACGCGGCCGGGCCGTGAGGAGGAGCTTCGTCGCCTCCCCTCTCGCGTCCTGGAGGCAGACATTCGCCCCGGTGTGGCGGCAAGAGGGATTTCCGAGCCAGGTGGCGTTTCGGCTTTCCGTGCTTATGTTTTCAATTATCCTTATTCTCCGAGGCGGAGGCGGGCAGCTGAAGGAGATGATGGTGCGCCTGCTCTGCAAATGGGCTCTGCTTAATTTTTTGAACGCTGTTTTAATAGGGAAAGCGAACGAGCTAGTAAGTAATGCAAGCATGCAAGAATCCTCGTTACAAAAAGGGGGTTGCAACTTTTCACGTTGCTCTGGTGTTGCAAGGCATTTTGTTTACTGGCTTCTTTTTTAAAAAAACCCGAAAGAATATTTAAAAACGACGCCCCAACCTTGCACCTTGCATGGACGACATTATTTACAGCTCTACCACTTTTAGATGTAAATACTACACCCGAGCCACAGTTTGCTGTGCAGATTTCATCTGAAGTGGAAATCTTGCTGAGATGAATGGGCAGCCCAGGCCCCATATATTTTGGTGCCTGAGGTAGACCATAAAATGGCCTCCCCCTGCCAGGGAAAAGGCCTGAGTGAAGATCATTCTACATCATGCACAAGGGGGTGGGGAAGAATAAAGACCCACATCTGGATCTGCTGCCCCTGCAGATCCTGCTGCCTGAAGCGGTTGCTTCACCTTGTCTCATGTGTGGACCGGCCCTGCTGATGGGTTTTACACGCCAGAAATGTGAATTCGGTGGAGTGGTATAGTGGTTAGAGCGTGGGATTCAGAGGGAGAGCAGCCAGCTTCAAGTTCAGTCATGAAACTTGCTGGGTTCCTCTGGGCCAGTCACTCTCTCTTGCAGCAACCTACCTCACAGAGTTGATATTAGGATACAAGGAAGAGAGACGCTTCAGTGTTGCCCAGAGCTCCTGAGAGGAAGCATGGGATGTAATAAATAAGGGTACTGTACTGTGTATTACTAAATAAATGAATTAAATAAATTCGGATAGTAGTCTTATTGCCCTTCACCCAAATAAGGCATCAAGGGATATTCCTCTCCTCTCTGTCTCTCCTCTCACACATTTAGAATTCCAGAGTAACGTGTAATAATTTTTTATGCCCCAAAAGATAAGACACTAAATAGGTAAAGGTATGTTTTATTCCAGGCAAACATTGTCCAGTGTTCAGAAACATTGTGGCATACTAGGGAAAATGCCAGCTACAGCACCAACCATAACAGAGAACATGAATTTGCTTGGTTTGTCACCACTGCAAAACAGAAAACTCAAGTTCTACAGACTAACTGGGAACTTGAGAGGGTGGGGAGTGGCAGAAATAGGATAAATTTCTTCAGGTCCTGATGTGGCATCTAGCAAACAAGCTCAATGCATCTTGGCATGGGCATACAAAAGTAGGTTGTACAATTTAATCCAGGTCTAGCTATTCTGGCAAAAAGTATGGGAGCTTAATCTCCTCATTTAAAACAAACAAACAGCAACACCCCCTCATCCCAGGATAAGAGAATTCTCCACATTTGTGATTCTGAGGGTTACATATGGTGTTGCAGGCAGGCAGAATTGAGATATGGACTAGTTGGCCTAGTTTTCAGATTTATTCTTCAAAACCAACAAAACCGCTCCTGGGAATATTTATAAAATGTTTAGCATCAAGGACTATGTCACTGGCAAGGAGCTATTAATATGCTCTTGTGAGCTTTGTTGCCATACAAATCTCGATGTGAGAAGTAAGTAATAGTATGTATAACTGGCATCACATTAGAAACAAAACAGATCACAAACTAAGAAGCGGTATAGGCGCTGCTGTCTCTGAGGTACTAAATATAAGGAAGCCTGTGAAGGTCGTGTCATCATCAGGGTCTGCAAACAAACCATTAGAAGTCCCATGGGTCTGCAGCCAGATCTGATCACCTTTCTGCAGCTCCAATATGGTCGCTCCTGAGGCCTGGTCTTCACCACTCTGGTAGCTGTCTGCGGTGTGGAGCATCCTGTTCCCATTTTTAATCAGAGCTACCTTAACATTCCTTGAATAGACAGTGATGTGGTAGGTGAAGTAATAGACACCAGGAATCTGGCAGGTGAATACCCCAGTGGCTGTGTTATAATGGTTTAAGCCGTTATACATCACTTTGTCAAATTTGATGGGAACGTTGAGAGGAGGAAACTTAGTGGTAAGACCTACACTGAAGGCACTTCTCGGGATGACTGGGGTACTACCAAGTTTTCCCTTTTCTCCCCTGTCTCCCTTCCATCCCCTTTCTCCCTGGATTCCTCTACTGCCCTTTGGACCTGGACCTCCCACCTCTCCTTTTGGACCAGTGGGGCCAATTGGTCCAATGGGACCCCTTAAGCCTATTTCGCCTTGGACTCCAATTTCACCTTTAAGTCCTTTTGGGCCAATGGGCCCAATGTCCCCTTTTGTCCCCTTTTGTCCTTGCAGTCCTAGCTCACCCTTTTGACCTTTATCACCCACAGGACCAGGAATTCCCTTAGGGCCAAATTTCCCAGGCCAGCCTCTTGACCCTTTATTTCCTTTGTTCCCTTTCTCTTCAACTCTGCCATCAGCTCCTAAAAGCAAAGGAGAAAGAGAGAGAGATATTTCTTTTATTTAAAAGAATGGTTTAATTATCTAGTATCAGGTTGTTAGGAGCATATGTGCAAGATAACAGGAAAAGGCATTCGTCATTCTTGTATTAGCTAACACTGCGCTGATAGGAGATGAGAAGGTCAAGGATGGCCTTGGAATTTTCAGAGCACGAGAGAAAGTGTTGTGGGAGAAAAGAGATTTTCCAGAGCTGCAATTTAGCTGTCATTTGGGATATATATATATCCAAACATATAGGAAATGGGAGGATTCCAGACTACACTTTAATTATGATGTGCTCAGTGAAGTGCTTAAGACATACAGTGGGAGACAGTGACCTCTATCCTCCAATAGTGGCACTTTTTAATTCACTTGACATTACTGCAAATTAAATGCCCCCCCCCCCAATTAGGTAGGTTTGCATTAAAATCTTAGCTGAACCTCATCCCTAACCCATGAAGATTCAGCTGCATTTATCCATATCCCCTCAGGAACAGGTAACAAGCTAAAATGTTTTTCAGCGAAACCACTTTTTGCTCTCACCTGAATCTCCCTTTTCTCCATTTATGCCATCTGTGCCTGATTTTCCAGGATGTCCTGGTTCACCTAGCCACAGAAAAAGGCAGTGTCAGTTCTGTTAAGTATTTCATTCTAAAAAAGGTGATGTTTAAGCTTTCTGCTTTTAGACTGCAAAAATGACCTCAAATCCTGCAACAACACACAATTCTGTTCCATCAGGGAGAACTGGAATGCACAAAATCCAAGGCAGTGCAAGATAATGTTCCTGCAAGCAGTACCACTGGTTATTGCTTGCACAGGTACAGCCATCTTGAGTAGGTGCATTATATCACCTGTTCATATTTTTTACTGATCGATTCTAAGTTAATGGCTGGGTGACTTTGGTCTTCTGTAATTAGCTTCACTTTTTAAAACTGGAAGTCCTACCTCATTCGTTATCTCTATCAACCAACCATTCATTAGCCAACCACTCACACTCAGCAACATTATAACTCCCATACAAAGGATCACTGCCAGGTATATACATATTAGAGACTCATCCCATCTCTGAAACACTAATGCACCACACTCACTGGAATCTGGACCACCAAATACTGCTTTCCCATCTCTCACCTGAGAAGGGCTTACAGCAGGCTCTCATCGGGGAAGGGGATAAAACTTCCATTCATTAACTCCCAACCACATAGTTGCACTACGCATAGTACTGCACAGCCACAACTCCTGACAACCCATCAGCATTGGTTGCAGACACAAACATTAACCTCACACCCAAAGTAGCCTTGAAGATCACCGTAAACTCAATTGTTACAGTGAATCAGTGGCTCTGCTCTCCTCTACCTCGGCATATTTTGTATAACTTGCTCATGGGGTTCTCGTGATGACAACACATGTGATACCTGTGTCTCCTTTTTCACCCTTTGGTCCATCGCGTCCGTCACGTCCTGGTATGCCGTTGTGTCCAGGGTTCCCAGGGATCCCAGGAAACCTTTCATTGCAACTGTTCTGTCTTTGTATTTCTTCTGTGCTGACTGCAACAGCCAGCAGAATAATCCAGAGTTTCATGCTATCTAATTTCAGCTGAAGGAATCAATATATTTAAAAGCAAAAAACCAACATAAAACAACCAGTGAATAGCATGCTTTGCAAAATAAATACTATGTTTTAATCATAAAGTTGTTGTGCATCTTCATCTTGTTTTAAATGCATTTGAGAGTTCGCTAACACATGCTGTCAATTGGGCACAAGGTTATATAGTGTAGGGGGTGTGTGGGTAAAATTCATTTAGATAACAGAGGAGGTTACTGTGAACATACAAAGTTGTATTATACTGAGTCGGACCATTAGTCCAGCTAGTCCAGTGCTCCGTACTCTGTCTAGCAGCAGCTCAGAGATCTCAAGAGGAGGAAGCAGGGGGGTTTTTTGGGGGGGGGGGCGAGGAATAGAGATGCCTGCATACAAAGTCTGTACTTTGTCACCGAACAAGTCCTTATAGGTTGCTATAGTCCATAATTCATTTAGGTTAGTGAGACTTCCTATGGGAAGTATATAAACCCCTTAATCAAGAGCTAATTATAGCAGCGAGCAAATATTTTAAAAGAATACAACTTAATAATGTACTGGTGGGGGGCGAGTACCAATGCTTTCCCCCTAAAATTACATTTGTTCAGTTTGTCACTGCTCATCTTATTTGCATATGGCTCAGAGCATATATCTGATTGTTCTCAGTTGCTTTTCCATCCAGAGAGCTGGTAGGGCCAGGCTACCTTTGCTCCAGAGGCAGAACTTGGATGCTGTTCTCCAGGTGACCAGAGAGAGCCTTCTCAGTGGTGGCACCCCTGTATAGAAATCCATCCTCAGGGAGGCCTACCTTGCCATCCTTTGGGCATCAGCCCTTGTTATTTTCAGGAATTTTACTCTCTTTCATTTAATGTGTTGTGGTTATGTCTTAATAGTTTACCGTATTTTTCGCCCCATAGGACGCACCACCCCGTAGGACGCACCTAGTTTTTTGGGGGGGAAATAAAGAAAAAAAAAATTATTTCCCCCCCAGGCGCGGGGCTGGTGCGGGGGAAGCCCGAGCTTCCCCCGACCCCAGCCCCCAGAACAGGCTGCTGCCGGCAAGCCTTGTGAGCCCGGCGGGACCTCCTGCCGGGCACGGGAGGCTTGCGGACACCTTCCCGAAGCACGGGGCGTCCTCCGGAAGGCACCCCGTGCTTCGGGATGCAGGCTGCCGCCCCAAGCCTCACGCGCCGGGCGGGACCTCCCACTGGGCACGGGAGGCTTGCAGACACCTTCCCGAAGCACGGGGCGTCCTCCAGAGGGCGCCCCGTGCTCCGGGCTGCTGCCCACAAGGCTTGCGTATAGCTTCCTGAAGCCTGGAGAGCGAGAGGGGTCAGTGCGCACCGATGCCTCTCGCTCTCCAGGCTTCAGAGAAAGCCTGCATTCGCCCCATAGGATGCACACACATTTCCCCTTCATTTTTGGAGGGGGAAAAGTGCATCCTATAGGGCGAAAAATACGGTATTTTACTTGTTTTATACTGAAAACCGCCCAGTGAGGCTCAGATGAAGGCCACTCCACTTAGGGCTGGGAAGACCTACCCCCCCCCCCGTTTGAAAAGTTGCTGCTAGTCCATAGACAATTCCTGAATTGGGGGGACCAATAGTCTCACTCAGTATACGACAGCCCCTTTGTCCCTAACATACATGGAATATTTTTTCTAACAGGAGACTTTATGTTCAACCTCTACATATTTGCTCATCTACTCCCCAGGCATAGTTTGCACCCAAGTCTTACCTTTTCCGCCACTGCCTATCAGGATATGTTTTTGGGTATCTTGTGCTTAACACTCAGGCACTGTATGTGAAGCTAAAGCAAGGGCAGCTGGGGAGTAGGTTACTAAGTTCTAAAAGCTGTTATCCAGTTTTCAGATATGCTCAATGATTAATATGGAGGCAGGTGCCAAGATATTTATGTGGAATGATTCCAGCACTTAAATATTAATCACCAGTGTACAGTGTTTTGTCAGTTTTCCACTTGAACCCCCAAAGTCCGTTCTTGTTAACTGCACAGAGCTTTACCATGGTGTCATCTGCACTATGCTTTTAAAGCAGTATCACATGACTTTAAACAGTCATGACTCCCCCGCCAAAGAATTCTGGGAACTGTAGTTTGTTGAGGGTGCTGATAGTTGTTAGGAGACCACTATTCACCTTAACTACAATTCCCAGAATTCCCTCTGAAGAGGGATTAGTGTTAAACCACTCTGAGAACTGTAGCACTGTGAGGGGAACGGGGTCTTCCAACAACTCTCAGCACCTTTAACAAACTACAATTCCCAGGATTCTTTGAGGGAGGTTTTTTTTAAAGGATCTTCTTTTAAGATTGAAAAATCCCTGCCCCACATTCAAATAATGCATCCCCTCAACGTCTCCCATTAATAATATCACCTTCTGTATTTTACTCATCCCATGAATAGTTTGCTTCTAACAATGGAACCTTTGTCCAGGAACCTTTGGGCAATAAGTGGTTTAATAATTTTTGGAAGCTTCCTAGAATTAGAGAATTGTAGAGTTGGAAGGGACCGTGAGGGTCGTCTAGTCCAACCCCCTGCAATGCAGGAATCTTTTGCCCAATGTGGGGCTCAAATCCATGACCCTGAGATTAAGAGTCTCATTTCCTACAGACTGAGATCTTTGATCAGTGACTAAAGGCTTAAGGAAGGGCCAAACGCTGCCCTTTTGCAATTGGGAGAGGAATAATTTAGTGGATTGAGGTGATTTCTTTTAGAATAATAGAATTGTAGAGTTGGAAGGGACCGTGAGGGTCGTCTAGTCCAACCCCCTGCAATGCAGGAATCTTAACTAAAGCATCAGATGGCCATCTAACCTTTGCTTAAAAACCTCCTTGGAAGGAGAGTTTTGGATATTTATGGTCTGACTACAGGGCTGTCAAGAGAATTGTGATGGAAACAGGAGTGGAAAATGCCGGTGTTCACTGATTTGTTCCACATCCGGAACTGCAATCAAGTCTTGTGAATGTGGTCAGTATTCACTGTTGTTTTCAGTCCAGAAACTATGAGTAACGGTACGTAATTGATCGAGGTTTCCAATTTGCATTGCACTTACTCTTCATTAAAATAATTTGTGTGGGAATAAAGTAATGATTAGGCAATTGTGTAACATTTCCCCAGAGTGGCCGGCGAGACAAATTATGTACCGGTAGTTTTTGTCAGAAGCCAAAGTGCAGCAGAGAAGAAAGTGTTATAGGTGACCAACACAGAGTGGAATGGAAACCAGTGTCTTCTTGCATCCCTATCTGTAGACCAAATAAACTGAACTACTGCTATATTGAGGTCATTTTCTGTCTTACAGGGAACTCTGCAAACAAAACTCCCTCCAGCATGAAGTTCCACGCAGCATTTCTTGCAGAATGGAATTCTCTTCCAGGTTTGTCTTACTGGCCAGCTCTGGGACAAACTAAATGATACGTTAAATAAATGTCCACATTTGCATTTCTCCAATCTTACACGTTTTTCTATATTAGCCTCAGGCAAGCCCAGCATCAAAACATTTTCCAGGTGACTTTCCCTCCCTGCATCCCTGACTGTTATTTGCCCTGGGAGGGAAACTGCTATGGACATAAATAACAGTTTCATTATGAAGTATGTATGAACAGGGGGTGCGGTGCGGGTGAAGCTTTTTGGTTAGAAAAATGGCATGGGGACTGCCTGCCCCTTCCATCCGCTCACAATATAATCCTGGTCTTTGGGGGAAGGGGGATGAAATGTTATCATGTTTTTGACTTATATGGACCATTTAGTTGCTTTCTTGGAAATTCAAATTTACTTGTTTCTGCAGTACCAAACCCTTCTAGCTATCATAATGCACAGCAAAGTGGGCCATGTGTTCTTTCTGAATGTATCTTTAGCCAGCAGTTGTGTCTACTTACGTTTGCATGAGACATTCAGGCAACTGTACCCACCCACAGATAGACATATGCATGTTTTTGGCTTGTGCACAAACATCACATACAGTGACTGAGAAAGCAGCCAACCTTTCCACCTTTCTCAATTTGCTCTCTCTTAGAAAACGAGTAAAAGATGCAATCCTATTTACAGAAGCGGCAGCAGCAACACCTGTTGGTATCTGCCTTGGATCCAAATTGATCTTACGTATGTTTAGTTTTTTTAAGCTGTTTTTATCTGTTTCTAAAAAAAAATGTTATATGTGCAATAACTTTAATTTTTTTATGTATGTTATTGTAAATTCCTTTGGGATAACTCATGCAAAATGAGAAGTTACGCAAGCTAAATGTTAACTAGATGTTGCGGGGGGGGGAGCCTTAGGTTTGTAGAGCAAGATTATAAATAGACAAAATAAACAAAACAAATGATATTTTGCTGTCAGATAATGTTCAAATATTTAAAGCTCACATACAATATTTTATATGCTATGAACAAGTCACAAACATTGAAACTGTACAGTTGAAATTATGTAAGACACAGCTGAGAAATGTTAAGTTATGCACATTCTTAATCAAAACATATAAAGTTAGAGCAAGGTACAAGGAATGTACATTTGTAGATTCATTCCCAGAAGATATTTTTTTAAAAGATATAAAACATACAGAATGCAAATAAATCTGGCAACAAATGATACAGCAAACAACATATGAAGGTAAAGAGATCCTATACATTATACCTTTAGCTGTCAACAGCCAAGTAATATTTTTTTCTGAAGCCAGGAATTCTGGCTTGAAACATATGCAGCAGCGCAGAGCTGTTAAGATGCATAAGAACATATACAGAAGGCGGGGAATTGTTAGAGAACACTTGTCAAAATATACAAGCAAGTTGAACAAGCAGGCCTAATATTTATCAACAAAGTTAAATCACAGAATCATTCAGAAGGTGTCTTCAATATGCAAATATACATTGAGAAAGAAAAGGCAGTCAACAGAAATATACCATTTATTTATGGCTAAGGTCCTTTGGCTCAAACTCCAAGCTAAAATCTACAATATATTTAAAAAGTAAAAAGAATGCCCCGCGCAAAAAAATG